AACCTACATGTACTTCATGGTGTCGAATTTATCAGAGAACCTTCGATAAACAGAAAATCCACGGACTGCATTTCTTAAGGTTAGAAATACCTTTAAACTGATAAGAACTTTATAAATTATCACGCTGTTACGAGATATTATTTCTCCTGATGTGTTTAACAGTTTCATCCCTTCTGTGAACTTAGAGAAATTATTTCAATGTGATTAATGTGGATGTCATTCCATGTTTTCAATGTGTTCTATTTGTATAAAACGAGCTTAAATCAATCAAAGATATGTGTCGAATGGTTTGAAAAATCAGGGATTTTCTTATCTCATTTATCCTCAGAGATTTTAAAATTTATTAGTTAGCTTTTCTGAAAAAAAGAGCCCAGAAAAAGCGAAGACTTTACAGGTAGATGGACTCTAACGATCACCAAAATACAGTGCTGGGTTTTTCTCAATAAATCAATACATGAATATAACCTTATTCCATTCGTTTTCTTCTGTGATTTATCTACGATCCACACTTCCTCGTACTGACTCAAGTGACCTGTACTTTAACAAATCGATTTTGAATCGGTCAGAACCAATAAGAAATTGGAATCAATGATACTTTTATGTTGTGCGTAAGATTTAAGGTTTATTGGGTTTCTAATAAGCTTTAATTAGGATGATATTATAACCCCAAAATAAAAACTCTTGTTCATGCATCATTTTTGTAAATAAATCTATATGTTTAGAATTTATTTAATTTTTGATAATCTTTAATCTAAAGGCAGTTGTAAGTATGAGTAAACAGAATAACAACTGTGAATCGCTTTTTTAAAAATAATTTCAACGTTTATATTTTAATTCAAAGCTTAGTGCTTCTAAAATTTTGTGGCATCGAACATCGCAACATATGCGTTTTCATTCATCTTTAAGTTAGCCTCGTCTACTGAAGTGGAAGTTAGGATGATATTTCTTTTTTGGAAATTTATAAATCCAAGTTATTAAAAGTTATAACTGGTTTATCTTGCATGTTGCCTGGAATCATGGAGGAAATAACATTAGAGATTTGATATCTATTTTCAAGTTCCAATTATTCCTGTCTTAAAAATGTAAAACATTCTGTTACCTTCTTTTTCTGGATGAGTAATGAAATAATTTTGCATACGCACTCATAAAAGTTTTGATGTTTTGCATCGTACTCACATAATCATTTTTGCTACCATCTTGGCCAATTCTAGGTATTGACATTCTAAACCATGGTTCAAGAGGTAGATAGTGTAGTATGGGTCATTAATTTTGGATTAGAGTCTTATTTGGGAATACATTCGGAACTTCTCTTTGACATCAATCATTTCTCTTTTTCGGTTTTTCATAAAAAAATTTATCAATAGAAGTAATGTAAGTCGAATAATATTTCGTTTTTTAGATTGATAATCAATGCATGAGTTATTAAGATTAATTCATCCTTACATAACTTTTTAATTAAATTGAGCTGTCTCTATTTAAAGAAGCTTAAAATATAATCGTAATGAACATATCACCTACAAAGAATTCAATCTAAAAAAAATCAGATGCGTTGATTCGCTGACATAGATCACTATAAAACCTTATGGTTCAATTGCCCGAATAGCTAAATGCAGACCTACATCTCCAGTCCTCCAACGACAATAGCGCATGACGTCTCAATATGAGTGAAAAAAATTTAAATCGGCGTAAAATACAAAAAAATAGGCAAGAATTCTTTAGCAGTACGGAATAGAAACTCCAACTGTTCATTGAAATATATTGAAAATTGAAACAAAATAGTAAGAGAATAGTAGGGTGCAATGATAATATTGCTTGTCAACATGCTCATGTCCTTTTAGTTTAGAATTGTACAAGTTATGAATACTTGTGTTAGGAATTGGCTAAGATAATGGATAAAATTTTATACGTAGGATTAAAAAATCTTTCCCAGAACAGAAACACCATATTAGTCTTATTGGTAAAAAGACTCTCTCTGGTGTAAATCCATATTTGAATAAAATCAATAATTGAACGTTGATGTAGACATTTTGTTTTATTTTCAAAAAGTAAATACCATGAATACAATTAAAACCAATAAAAGAATTATAGTCTTATAAATTATTTGCAGATTCATCGCCTGATATCCAAGATTATAATGGAAGTTAAAACTCAGCACTGAGTTGCATATGTCGTATTTAATTCGTTGGCTTAATGTTGGCTTATTATTCAGTTCCAGGCATCTGCAAAAGAAAGTTAAACAAGAATAAAAGGCATTTGAACAAGTAAGTATAAGTATATATCGATAATATAAATGATCATTTTATTATGAAGTAAAAATAAATAAAATGCTTACAAACATTAATACAAAGAGATGGATAGAAAGAAGACTAAAATAAGCTCTGGCAATATTAAAGAATGTTTTCATTTATATTTAAGTACATATATTTACAAAATAAACTACTAAAAGGGAAATGGACACGGCTTCAACTGATTTTTAAAAACCAATTTCAATGTTTACATTTCTTAATTAAGGCGATTTAAATGATCATCAAAAATTTGAACATCATTTGTTGATTACGAAGAAGATACAGAACTTAAAATTCTTCATAATGTAAACAAGGCTCGTGCCTTGCAATTGTTTTTGTTTACATATAGAAAGTGTCACATTTATAAAAAAAAAACAAAATTCAATAAATCTATAGAAACTGTCTTATGGTATTAAGAATTAAGTTCTTCATTGAAAAAAATGTTTTGAACGAACATATATAAGTACATATATTTAATCTATGTAAACAAAAACATAAGACAGGCCTTGTTTACATAACAAAGGTTTGGGGCTCTAAAGCTATCTTGTTTCTCGACAACTGAAATTCAAACTTTTGATATAATCATTCAAAATAAGTATTAGCAAACATAAAAAATAGGAAAATAAATTTGATATTTTTCAGCTGAAACTGTCTCCATGTTCCTTTATGTCTCCTATATGGAGGATGGGCGAAAAACAATATATAATCCATCAATCAATCAATCAATCAATCAGAGATCGTCCTTTTGAACCAAAAATTCCGAACCTTTGACCTTGACATCTGAGTATGACTCAATTTTGAAAAACTTAAATCTGATACAATTCAAACAGTTTGGTACTTTTTCTAAAATAAAAAGTATAATAAACTACATGTATCGGGTTTTTTTGGTTGTTATTTTGTTATATGTATACCCAATGTCTATAGTTTATTCACCTTGCCAAATATAAGCCTGTAACTATATTTATTTTTCAAATATATCAAAATATGTAAAACGACTCAAGTTATAACATTTATCGTTTTCTTAAGTATAGAAAAAGCATTAAAAATATTTCAGTATATTTATAAAGCTAAGCACGTCTTAATATGCAATCATGTGAAAGATAACATAGAAGCAATATCTAAATTGTTCCAAATATATATTTTATCTTTTCGAAAAGACGATATATAAATCACAATATAGGGAAAACTTAACTTTACAAACATGTCTCAAAAAGAATAGTGAAGATAGGCGGATCCAAAAATCTGAAAAAGTTAAGTAATAAGGGAAACACATTTTAAAGAAAAATTAAACAGAGTGCCGATGATTTTAAAGGCAAACGAACTTAACTGCTAGGAAGCTTAAAATTTTTCTTCAAGAGGACATCATTGAACATTCAACTCGCCTGAACTACAGTTATGTATAGAAAGAAAACTGGTTCACCATGATACTTTCTGTTTAACTAAATTTGACGTACAGTTTGTGCTTTGGAAGATATCTGGAAGATATTTTGCAAAAAAGAATTTTGTTACATATTTTTATGAGCTAGATATCCATATGACACATTTTCTAATTACCTTGTGGACTATTTTCAACACTAGGAGACAACAGATCTTCAATGTCCAATTCATCAGTTCTGTCTTCATCCTTTGAAGCAGAATCCATGTCAAAGATTTGATTCATATCGTGTTCCTTTCCATCTCGCTCTTTTGGTTCCTTGTCTTTCTTTTTTCTAGCTTCCCTTGTTTTCTTCTTTTCTCCATCTTCTGTAACATTTGTACTGTCTGTTTCTCTGCCTTCTTCTCCTGATGTCTCATTTTTCTCAACATTTTCATTTTTGTTGTCCATTTCAATTTGGTCATTACTTCCATTTCTCTCATAAAGGTCCAACATTCGATTTTCCGCATGTTCTTTTGTTCGGTTTCTGTACCCGGTGTCCACATCTTTCACGTCTCCGGCTATATTGTAACCCTGCTCCTTTCTCTCAGTCTTTTCATCGTCCATACTTAGTATTTCAAAATTTTTATTTTCTTCCTTTCTCATTGTTTGCGCATCTTCAGTCTGATTTTTCCCAATATCTTGCACATTTTCCGTAGGACAATTCTGGACTCCTACAATTTTCCTACGATTATCACCCAGAGGATTTTCTTTCTTTCCTTCATTCAATTCAGAGATATTTTTTGGGAGGCTTTCTGCGTCCGACCTGTTATGTTCATGTATGGCTGAGTTTTGTTGTGAAGGTTGATGTACAGGTATATTTTTCTGGATAATAATGCCGACTCTTACATGTGCATGTAACTGTCTTAAAATTTTGATTGATAGAAACGAAACCGTAATCTAAAATTAAGAAGAAAAAAATATAACATAGTAAACTCACTTTTGTTAAATAAGTCATAAATAGAATTCTTGCTTTCGTAACTTATTGATATGTGGTGATTAATAAAGAAGTATATACAAAGAAATGACTTGAATTTGTATGATCTTCAGTGCCTCAAGGAATACCAATCAATAGCATTTTAAGAGATTTATAATCATGTCATTTCCAAAAGTGAACTCAAACTGAGAATAAAAGTTAAAACTTGGGATGTTGATAAACATTTTTAAATATCTCGACTATCGTTCGATCATTCTGATTATAGGCATATATTATTTTGTACTCGTGGTTTAGTTTATATAGTGCCTCTAAACTCGGGTTAAGAAATTCGTTTTTTTTTTTTTCAAGGACCGTTCTGTCTGTGTTAATTATCAGATATTCTTCTGATATGTAGTAAATATAATCAATTAAAACAATATAATCTTAATTGGATGAAATAAACCGTCAAGGTATTGAGCGCATTGATCATGAAAGAGCTGAAGAACATAAATTTCCTATCTTCATGTAACTTACGTGTATAATGAATGAGGCTACAACATAAGCCACTAATACGCCCACTGGTTCAAGAAATAGTGGTTCACATGTCTTCATAAGAAACAAAAGAAAGAAAATCAGAAAAAGTATAGGATACTTAAATTTAAAAAAAATTGTCTAATAATTCTGAAAATAATAATGTTACCTCTTTTACCGGTCCTACAGAGGTCATATTGTAGCTTTTACACGACGAACTATCTTTACAATAACAATACCCCTATAGTGAAAGAATGCGATATTTATATTTAAGAAAGAATTCATTAAAGTATATTTGAATTATGAAACCATTGGCAAAATGGAGATTACTATATAATATTTAAACTATACATTAATTTTAACTTTAAAATAGAAAATAAATATACATAAAAAATCGTCCAAGGGCCCGTTTTAGAAAAGAACTTACGACTAAGACCAAAATTTATTTCTGCTAATAACTTTCTTATCTATATGAAATAGATGATTTTATTTATTTTAAAAGGTATGTAGAAAAAATATCTAACTCTAGCAATTTTAAAGAAAATCATTAATTTTGCAAACTTTTACAATCAACAGAAGTTTTCAGTCTCAGTCTTAAGTTCTTTTAAAAACGCCAACAATCATTGTATAACACTCTTCTAGTTCTCTCCCTCTCTTCTTCTTCTTCTTCTTCTTGTATCAATCATCAAAAATTAAATTTGGTTGTGTGATAATACTTACGAAATGAAGAAGTTCAGATGAAAATACAAGGTATATTATGTCACCGATGGTAAGGCCAATGACACCAACTGTTAACTGAATTAAAAAAAAATGTTTGAAAAAATGGAAAAGTAAAGATTACAAGCAATATATGGTCCCCAAAGATTTACAAAACTACACATCATACAAATTAATTCACAGGGCAAAAACATGGACCTATAGAAATTCCAGAGGTGCCTAGTAAGAAAAGTTATCCCTTGTTTACCGGTCATACCCACCATTAGTCCTAAGTAGACGAAACATTCCCTACTTAAACTAATTATAAAAACAAACGCAGCTTACACAGGTAAAATTGCAACGTATGCTCAACATATGGTTCTCAAAACATATGGTTGACATACGTTGCAATTTTCCTGTGTATATGTGAAAGACTTCGAGGTTCCTTTTAATTCAAGTTCACTTGGATATATCGAGTCGGCCTTAGAATGGAAAATATAAATGTTTATTGATGAAACGTAGTTAGTATATCTGAATGTCGACTTCAAGTTTTTTGCATATGTTTCATTTTATAACGGTAACTCAGACGGTAGTGCGCTAACTTCGTGATCAAAAGATCGAAAGTTCTAACCACGGTTGCAACTGACCTCAGTCGATAAAAAAGGTAGCAACTGTTCCTTCGCCAAGCTCTCGGCACTTTAAAGTAAAAGATGCGAATCTTTTGCATGAGACCGTAAAAACCGAGACTACAATTCACAGAAGGCGTTGGTGCTATAACATGCATAAAGAGCCGCCACTGTTCAATGGCCCTGAAAGCCGCATAAAAGTCTTAATCAATTGGGCTTTTAATTACATGTATTACCAAATCAATATGGCGGTCGGAAAAGGATATTCACTCTTCAATGGCATCTGGTCTCATATCTGATGTTTTAGGGCACCGTGTTTTCTCTTCTCCCTATTTGATTTTAACTTGTTTAATGTACTTTTGAGCTGTTTGTTGCCGCCATATATTTCATATGAAGCACTTCACCATTATATATGGTGATGTCTCATAGTGGGTCTGACTGATATAGGGAGGGTATTTACATCTCTTCGGCACCTGATCCAAACTCTAATGTTCTGAGAGGTCCGTGTTTTGTCCTGTTCTTAATTATTTTGTTTGCCACATTAATATGATTGATCATTGTTTGATTTTCAAGTTTTACATTGATTTTTACAATACGTATAAACGATCAATAAAAATTATGAGATTTATAGACTTGTAGATATATATAACTTACAATCTTAAATAGGTCTCTTGCACGTCCTATTAAACTTAGTATTCCAAGTAACTGATAAAGAGAAGTTGTAGGTACAACCATATATAAGGAAAACATTATTCCAGTTACAGTTGCCCCAATGTTTCCAAAGCCAAAGGAAAGTTTAACACCAGATACGTTGCTCAGAATATCATCACTCCACATACATCCTGGATATATTGTCACTCGGAAAAGTCCAATCCCGAAGAGTATGTTTAAAATCTGTGGAAAAGAAATCAACATTTCAAGTGTGTTATTCAAATTTAAATGAAAATTTGAAATTTTAAATTGATGTTCCTACATACATGTACTTTATCTAAACACATACCAGTATTAATATCTGTAAACTAAAGAATATCCTCTGTAAAGTTGTGTATTTTCTCCTAAGGAAAAAGGCAAAAAATATGTTATTTGTTATTTTTGTTGTTATCATTATTTTTATTATGAGAGAGAGAGAGAAAGAGAGACTTACAATTTTCCGTTAACCTTTTCACAAATTACTTTTGTTATTCTTGTTGATATTCTCATAATTCTATTGGAAAAAAATATCATTAAATTGTGAGCAAATATGATAATGTAATCAAAATAAAATAAGCATCTTGACTACTAGTATTCAGGATCTTGATAAAACAATTTTTTTACTTTGCAAAACTTTAATTCTAAATGCTAGAAATATAGACCTTGTCTTTTTAATGTCACACCAAATACTTTTGAAAAGTTCGGAAACTCCTTTGAAAATTCCAAGTTTACCATCTATTGATCGTTTGAAATACACATAACCAAGGACTATCGACAGGATCTGAAAGAAGCCCGATACGTCGATATTATGTGAAGAAGTAATGAAAGCACTTACATATATGTAGGTTTTACTCACATTGTTGCCTTGAAACAAACCCCCTTTTGTATACTTATTTCTTACCTGTAATATAATACTTAGAATTCCGAATCCTACCATCAACCTAAACTGCAAGGCTGCATGGTCCAGAGTATTTGAGTCACAAAACTAGTAAAAATAATCATGGAAACAAGATAAATAATATATTAACAGGCTCATACAATAAAAAGTTGAATATTGACTTTTTACATTTTTTAAATACAAATTTAAGTAACAGTTTTTTTTTAAAGAACAGCTACTGTAATTCTGAACGAATAAACAGTATCTTAAATTTTTCATGAATTTTATGTAGTCTTACTTCAGTCGATGATATCGGAGAGTTGACGCCATTTACTGAAAATGAACAATCCGTGTCATCTGAACAGCAGTGAACCTTAAATTAAAATGCTCATTACGAAGTACTCTGAACCAGAAAAAGTGTCTATTACACATAAGTATAGTTGTTTTTAACTTTAAGATATACTTGAAATGAATGATGAGAAATTAAAATTTATTTTGTTTTCTCTCAGACTTGCATACAGATTGTTTAAATCTTATCTAATAGAAAAAAAATGTATTTCATGCAGAAATATATAAATATGGAAAACGTTTATGGAGTTTTGCTAGATAAACATTAAGCAAACTTTTTTGTTAAAATTTTATGATTAAAAATGAATGATTGTTAGGTATATGAATACCAGTTTTAAAAGAATGCTGGACATTGCAGTGGAACAGAGATGTAAAATTAGTAAGGGTAATTCTGACCAAAGGATCTATAAAAAGAAAATTAATCATATATTTACAAAAAAAAGTGACAAAGTATTCAACATGTTCAAAATTGTTTTTCCATCCACTTATATTTATCAATCTCACCAGTAAAGTAACCTTTGCCTTCCTCAATCCAATGGATACGAATTTTCCACTTTGAAGAAAAAAAGAAAGCGAGAGCGAAACAACGCTTATGAGAATAGCATTGTCTCGGTTAGAAGACATATCAAGGGATCCTAGATTAATGGCGTGTAAACTATCTGTTAGAAGACCATACGAAGACTTCCCATAGCGAACCACTATGAGTCCACAGAAATAAACACAATTAACAATCTAAAATAGAAAAAAAATTCTTTAATATTTTGTGCTTAATGTAGGGTTCAAGCTTTTAAAGAATAACATAAAGTGAGCAGTGGAGAGATTTTCAAAGAACTGCCAGCAATTTAAAAAGAAAATTGCGATAGATGGTTGTAAATTACCGCATATGACTACAAACATAAATGTGAAACACTGTGCGTACACATATGAGGATTGAATCTGCAACTACAGCTGCTGTCAGAGGATGCCTGAAATATACGAATTAACATGATTATTTTTCTTCAATTTCAAAACTGATATTTTTATTGACCGTACCCAAATGTTTTGTCCCCTCCCCCCTCCGACGTTCATTTAAAATACCCTCTCAACGATATATATATAGTCTACTTGAAATAATTATAAACAGGTGTAATAAAAATTATAATTGATGATCGAAAACGGTGCTAACCACCTACATAGTTTTTTTCTCTATGGAAGAGGCAGAGCGGATCAGTTTGATTGTGAATGATATCAATTACTACATCAAATAAAAAATAATAAGCGAGGTATATATGTTTCCATGTGATCCTCATCAATATCAATACAAGTTGCTGTCCTTCAAATATGACTGCAATATGTGGACCATATGCATGCGTTTCTATAAACCGAAATTCAATTTCAGAAAATTTTAGGCGTGTCAATATTCATGTAGCTCTGTTCGCATTTTCTTCAATGATCTTCCTTCTTTGACTGATAGAAAAATTGTAAAATTTTATCTCCGATTCGCCTTTAGTTTTGCCATTTTAAAGAATCGGGCTATTTTGATACATGTAACCCATAACGGCTGGGATTTGACATCTGTTCTGGATTTATACGGAAGAAATTTATAATTGGAAAATAGATTTATGGTACACGTGTAGCATAGCTCTGTAGTACTCGGATTTTTTATTTAACGGAACCCTCTCCCCAACCCCTGGAAAACCGTTGCTACAGGCCTCTATCATATTTGGATTGCTGTATATCAGATTTCTTTGCAAGCCTTGATGCATATAAGTAATACTGGTGAAGACTTGTTCTATCTTATTTAAAAGCTAAAACTAGTCGTTGAATGAAGTTTTTAAATTAGGTTGTTAAATTTATCTACTGATATATACTGCAAGTTCCTTCTACTTTTTTAAATGCTTGTGCCATATAATCAATGTTAAGTTTGTATATAAAAGTATATGTATTAATATGAGAGAAAAATTCGGATCCGCCAATGAATATACAAATAGGCGCACTCTTTAGAATTCAAACGCATGTGTAGCCTGACATTTGCCCATGGCATCCGGTTTAACCTCGCTTATATATTTACTGCGTGGACCTCAGGGTCCACGAAACAATATTACCAATTGCATGTAGCATTGAAGAAACTTTTCTTATGAATACTTCGGTATGTATTGATATATTTACAGACACAAACTGCAAAGCTTAAACAATTTGGGTGAAGCTAATGGGTTTTTTTTAATTGCACAGTTAATTTTTTTTTACTATGTTTTAATTCATGTAGAGATGGTAAGGATGAAATACAGGATATCTGATACCTAAAAGGTTACACTGGTCTTTATTTATTGAAGTTAAATTGAAAAAAGAAATACCTCCTCAATGATAGATATACTGAGTAGAAGAATCCACATTTCTTAATTACAGTATTACTTCCTGATATCCCAGCTTTAGTCTTTACAAGTAGGTGTTTGTAAACATTATCTGCCCTTGCTATACAAAATACCTAAAATATTAAAATATATTTACATTTGCATAAATATTTTACTCAGTTTAGATATTTTACAATATTTTTTTTCTCGGTAAATAAACGTACCTCAAGTTTACTTTGAAAAGTCGGTTACCTTAAGAAAAATGTGAAGGACGAGAACCAAAAAAGAAAACCAGATGAATTTTGCAGCGTTTGTCCAAGATCGGTCACATATCTATAAAAAAAATACCACAAATGTTATTAAAATGGTAACAGTTTCTGGTTAAGGTTTGTTGGCTAAGCTAGGAGTAATCAGTGATGATATAAACATGCAGCAGATCCATTGGTCACAGCAGTAAATTATGTGCCACCTGAGTGTCACTGATCCATTTTTGAATTATGTGCTCTTTTCCAACTAATCTCAATTGCAACTAAAAATCCTATACACATTTTCTTATTCAAACGACATTTTTTTATGTATTGAAAAATGATTCTAGCTTCACACAAAAGGAGATATTTTTATAATATTTTCAGATAATTAAAACACAAGAAAACACAAAATATTGACATTTTTAAAACAATTATTAGCATATTTGTGAATTTGAAAACCAATAAAGGCATGAATGTGTTAATCCGTATGATTTCATTCATATGTAATATTGTTAGAGAAAGATTGAGATTATATACCATTTAATGTAGAATAAAAAAATTGCTTTAATATTCATCATTACCGGTAAAGGTGTGGTGGATCCATAAGAAAAAGGACAGCTATCTAAAGCAGTCCGATTCCAATCACAGCAATATAGCTTTAAAGATACAAAAACAAAACAGATGATGAAAAAATAATATATACATGTACCTAACAATTATTAAACATATCTGATGCTCAGCTCAATCACGAATAAATTAGTACACTCACCACTCGCAGAAGATAGGAAGAAAGTCCAAAAATGATGCACTCCACTGACAACACAAAAATTTCGGAACACATAAACTAAAAAAAACAACAGTTACATTTCACACAGACAGAACAAGGTGCCCAGAAAACCTAAAGAAAATCTAAATTGTTCTTATTTCCTAGCAGTTTAGAAAATAATTCTTTTTTTTAAATTTGTTTAAACGATCTTTAAAATCTTTTAAATCTTAGGAAGAAAAGAAAAATAAAAAAGGAAGTCGTTTGGCAATATCTTTGAAAATTTAAGCAACAAAAATATTTTTTAAAAATACTTACGGTAGCTAGCAAGCATTTCCTGCTAAGATATATTCCCGCGAAATAAAAAACCTTGGCAACAATCGACCAAATAAGAAGACATATGAAGGTAATCAGAAGGGCATCTTTGAGGTAACCCATATTGATGTATATTTTCCCATAAGCATGTATAGAGCTTAGTTCCTCGGACATTGTCATGTCGTTAAAGTTATATCTAACAAATGTTATAGTTAGAATTATTCCTCCATCGAGCATCTAAAAAAGGTGAAATATCGTGTTTAATATATATTTAATCAGAGTGTCATATGTTATCTCTATTTTTTAATTGTAACAAAATGTTGTTATTGAATTTATTAATAGGAATAGATGGCTAAATATACTCACCAATAGAAGAACGCTTAGATATCCGAATTTCGTAGCTAGTGGATTTCTGAAAAGGCAATAATAAAAGCAAGATTACATCATGCTTGGAAATGTGAGTACAAAAAGCTATCTGAATTGATATACATATACATTGTACAAAATAATTTCAATTGAATAAAAACATTTTTTAAATACATGTGTATACTGTATTTATTAGGTTTTGGGATTCATTTCTAGACTCACAAGTTAACTTTATTAAAACTACCTCTCCCAACCTTCCTTCAGAAATGAGTTAATTTTAGCGCACATTCCATTCCTGTCGTTGTAAAATTCAGATTTTTCTATAATATTCCAGAGATCAGGATCCTGGCTTTGTTTTGATTTCAGTTGTTCATATCGAAAAAGATACTCTGTTCCTATTACCATTATTGCCTTTGAATGAAATTCAACTCATATGTATTGATTAACATTGTTGAAGAATTACATAAGGAAAGTTTGGTATACCGGTACTTCAAATTGATAACATTGAACAAATAATTATTTTGTTGATATCACTTATTATTATAATTTGTATATAAGTTTATCCTACCATTGGGTATTATTTTGGTCTTTTTCATATCAATTATTAGCAATTGTTAGTATTCTTAATATCAATTAAAACTAGTTTCTAAAATCTATGAAAATTTATCATAAAACGAACAGGATTTGCAAAAAAAATGCCTTCAACTTACAGAGACTACAATGTTAAGGAAAAGAACTGCAGCAAAGGAACTTCCGTATGCTTTTAACGTCCCCTTAATGTAATCAAAGCAAGGCGGAAGTGACGCATTGGTCGTGACACAAGGAGAACTGGCAATGTCAAAGCCACAACAGCTCATCTATAAAAAAGGACAAGAATAAAAATGTGAAGATTCTGAATGCATCACAATATCTACAGGTGAAAAATTATTTATGTTCCTTAGTTCTCCCGTGAAACGAATGAACTTGGTTTTTTATGTTAAAAGCAGGCAAAAATAAATAACATCATATAGAAGTAAAATACGTCATTTATCAAAGTAAAACATAGTTAACAAAATCGGGGGGAGGGGTCAGAAAAGGGAACTCAGATATAGAGTATTACACATCTTAGGCAAAATATTATACAATCTGACTCCAAACCAATCTGACTAAAGCCAGACCTCTATTTACGCTATCGCATAGAGGATCTGATAACTCCCAATTAGAGGTCATATTCTGGTGAACTTTGAATTTGCGTATTGCATCAGATTGTCAACCAATCAGATAAGCCGTTGTAAATGACGTTCGATGTATTAAGAAAAATGGCGGATGTTGATCGGGCAGTGCAAGAAGTTTTAAAAAGAATCGGTATTTAGTCCATTAAGAACGAACAAAAATTAATTTTGAAATGTTTGATCGAAAATAGAGAGTTACCAACCGGCTTCGGAAAATCACTTCCATTTCAAATGTATTTGTAAGAGAGTTGCGAAAGTGTTTTGGACTCAGCAAGATTGCGGCAGCTTTTAAAGGTTTGTATTAAAATTTGATTACCGCTAGGCATATTGTTGTGTAAAGAGTTCTGTGTTTACGTTGTAAAAATTCGAATTGTAATTTAACAAGTTGGACACAATCTTTAGTGTAGTGTAACTTTATTATAGCTCTTATAGCTTGACGTTGGTTTTTCGAATAGCTTAATTTCGCCATATTAACAAAATTTCCAAAGTATTGAGATGATAAGATGACGTAATATATTGATAAGAAAGATATTTGGCTCTTGTTGGTGCTATTATCAATAATGGCTACAGGCGAGTGAATTAACAATTCAGTGGTTGTTATAGGCAAAGACAAAGAGACAGATAATTTGATAGAAGCTGGAAAAGTTGACATAATTTAGGCATCACCAGAGTCCTTGGTTGGAGATAACCATTGGAGACAGACCCTTCAAAAACTCAATGTAACTCTATGCGATAGCGTAAATAGAGGTCTGGCTTTAGTCAGATTGACTCCAAACACCATGATGCCATTGTAACACGATGTGTATAGGAAAAAGGGGGTCAACCAGACTAGAATAAGTATTCAAACCCCGTAATCTTTCACGGAGTACAATTACTACAATATACATGTATTTCATGTTGACCCCCTTATAAACATCATAAGATTCAAAAAACATAAACAAAATGCTCTAAACTGCTGCCTGCCATCAAAAAGGTTGGTTATTCATTGAATTTATGAACTGAATACATGAATGGAGAAATTAATAATATAAATTTCTGTTTGTGAACTTTGGCTTCTTGTTTTCCTAACGGAAGTAAATCAGATACGATCTGAGCTCCAAGATGTGGAAAATACTCGTTTTTATGTATGATTCTGTCAATGTTGGAAAGTTAAATATTTAGCTGTTACATAAATTTTTCAATTTCCAAATACGCTTAATGTGGGTACTATATATATACTATAGCATAGATGGCAATAACTATAATACGACCGTTGTTCAATAAGAAAAGCAATATACAGTGTATCATAATAAATATAGAAGTAAATGTTAAATTTTATTTTTATTTTTTTTTTACATTTTAAAAGTTCTATTTAATAGCTCCTAATTTCATGATATTTTTTATATATATGGAAAAACAATTTTTTTTTTACGTTATCTTCTAATCCAATCTGCAGAGTGTTCAGATGGATTCAGTAATTCAAAAGGAGAAAGGGAGAGTTAAAATATAACAGTCGAACTGTCCGATTGAAATTCGTTGGGAAGCTAAAAAAAACATCAATGTTTTGTGACACATGATATCTGAAAATGCTAGATTTAAACTGACAGATATTGTTAAGACCCTTTAAGACACTATCCATTTCATAATCACGGTATTTCTTAGAGTTCTGAGAAAGGAAAAATGTAATAATATATCTATCAGAGAGTTGGCCTATTTTCTTACAAATGTCTTCGAGAAATCACTTGTTAAATGTGCAAAAGGTCTATATATTGTCAAATATATTCATTTCTGATTGTTTTCTCTCTGATAACTCTTTTAATAGAGAGGACTACCGGTATCTAAGGTTTTGGAACTTGTGTCCTATCCCTTGGACATATTGTCAATAAAATATGCTCAAAACATAAAAACTCTGAAAGTTAGTTGATTTTTTGATAATTAAAGCTGAATGTAATTTCGTCAAATGAAAGGTCAATATATTTTTATTGATTAGCTTAAACATGTCTTTGCGCATAAGGAGATAAACTTGCTCGCAAAAGTCCTATGTCATGCTTACGCCAATACGTGACATCGGCAGAGAAACAAATCTAAGCTGTAATTTAAGTGTTATCTTTAAAGTTATGATTTTGTTTATATACATGTAGTCTTTTTTTAGCAAAAAAAAAAATATATATCTTTAAAGGATATTCCTATCCAGAAGATAGTGTTAAATGTCTCCTGATAAAATTTTGATCAAGTTTTCAAAAGTCCAAAACTTAATTAATTGAAATAAATAAACTTACTTAAGATTAAAATAATTTTAATAATACTCATTTGAAATGAAATATATAGAAAAACGAAACTGTAGTTTCACGGTTACCCACCTCCGGTATATGTTTGTTTGGTCTCAGGATAAATATCTGCTGTAATTGTCGACGAATGCTCAAATTCATCTAAAATATTACATGTGAAAGTATAATTATTGAATGTAAAAGAATTAAAAATTAAATTCCAACTATTAGAATCTGAAAGGGAATTCTTTTTTGTCCTCTCACCTCATCAAGTAGCCAGCACATCAATACGAAGGTAAGGAAATGGAATACTATCATAAGGATATTTATTGTGGCACTCTGGAACATAATCACGGATATTAAATCAATATTTTAAAATCTATTTCTATTGAACATTATTACCCATCTACGAATCTATCAGCATATTATTCTAAAATTTCAAACTCACAGCAACTAAACAGCCTTTCATCTTCCGACAGAAGCCGAAGAATGTGATCGCCGCATTGACTGTATGTATGACAATGGATGAAACCAGAGACAGAACCAAGGCGTTGACGAAAGACCCCAGAGGAAGGGATCCCAAAAACACGTTGTTAAGGAAAGCAATACCATCAACACTGAGCAAGGGTTCGTCGAACTTTAAGATAAATCCTCCAACCACGTACCAGATCGACAAAACCTGTAAAAATGGGAGTAAATGTAATACGAATATATATCATGACAGGTACACCGCTAGGAAAAAAAAGAACAAAAAGTTCAAAGTCTAATCGCTCCTTTGGCAAAAAATTACAACAGAGCTATAATAATTTAATTTCCTAAAATAAAATCTTAGAAGATGTTTATTTAAAAAGTGGTTCACGGAAATTTTTAATTTTAGTAACAATTAAAACACAGTATCAAAAACGACAAAAAGAATAATTTATCTTGGTGTACTCCTCTTCTTTGACAAAATTTACTAAACTCAGACAAAAACTGTCAGAGGTAATATGAAGTCCTTCTTAAGTCAACAATTCTCACATTTTATTGTTGCTTCAATGACCTTGTTTCCAAATATGATTTAAAACGAAGTTGAATTCGTATTTCATACAGATTGTTTGGTCATTCTTTCACACTTGATCGTTTGTCAGATCATGATTATCAGCACACAATGAATTTGACCCGTTGACAGGGGATGTTTACTCCTCTAAGGCACCTGATCCTACGTTTTAAATTTACAGAGGTCCTTTTTGGCTATGCCTCCTATTATTAATGTTAACAAAGAGAACTTTTGAGCTCCATGACTGTACGTTATCCTCATATATTATAAACACACATACAAATGGATTTTTTCAATCAGTCATATATATATAATGTACTCTCTAGATAATAAAACTATGTTTGGAGATAATAAGCTCAAATCAAACATTTAACTTAGGCGCTTTGATTCTTTTAATTGTTTTTTAACTGTTTATTTATAAATTCTCTTACCCTGATAATTATACCACATAAAATAATAACAGTGGTTAGATCTGTACATAAAGTCCATGGCTTTTTGAAAAACTGCATTTTCCTAAGAAATAAGCAAATATAAAATACCGGTAATAGTTGATACCAATTTAACAATGTGTACAATCACATTCACATTTTTTACAATCTCATTCTATTATCAATTTATTTTCATGACAGGATAAGCGGTAAAAAGTTAAAATTTCCGAAATTCCAATTAATCATAATTACCTATAAAAGTTTAGACTAGTATACTTACATTTTCTGGATGTTTCATAGATTTTGGTTGTTTATATAATATCCATTAATTAGAATGATTTGTTAAGACTTCAAGTATTGACTTCAGGTATACTTTACTCCTGAGCAATTTATTAGACCTTGTTTTAAAATACTGAAGGTATTGTGACAAACAGTAAAATACAACAGGAGTTTGATATTTAAAAAATAAACTAAACCTGCTTTTATATTCTTTATATTACTACCAATAAATAATCCCTCTCGATTCTTTATCACCGATTGTTTTATTATACAAAGATATACAGGATATTTAAACACAGGTTTTAGCCCAAAAGTAACCATTTATTAATGGGACCGTTGAAGAGGGAAATAATACGATGAATCAAATCTCAGATAACATGAACAATGAGAATAACAAATAACTAGCAGTCTAATTAAGCTCATACGCATTATGAACAGGGCAAAACACGAACTAAAAAAATACCCAGGGATCAGATGCCTAGGATCAGTTAGCATCCTATTTGACTTATGAAACAAACCAGGGCACACTAGCTGTAAGCCTTTTAAATCCTTTGAACTGGTACATAATAGCTCATATTCTTTATCAAGCCAACAAGTGATCGATGAGAAGCATGTATGTCAAAATGCAATCGATCCATTCAGAAGTTATATTTGATTATACCGACCATAGAATTGAATACTGCTGACAAGTGAAAGAAGTGAAAAAGCATGTAACATCAAGATGTCAATAGTCCATACCTTTTAAAGTTGACTGTTTTGAGTGCCGCTTCATATCGAATCAGTTGGAAGACATCCAGAAGTGGTTTGTGACAGCAAATAAACAGTTTATTGCAGGAATAAAGATTGAGTGTAAAATCTTTTTAGTGTTTACGAGGGTAATATCTATCTAAGTCGACATGCATCACGTGAAAAATCATGCATTAGCAATATGTAAAGAAATTCAATATTTCAGGCTGCCTATCAGCTCGTATAGTCAAAAGTATGGGTGGCACATCCTTTTCAAAAACATAATGTTTAAAAAAAATTATTAAGGAAGCATCAAATTACGGCCTCCCAATGAATATTTTGGGGTCAAACATCATTTAAACATTTTCAAAGCAAACGCCAATAAGCTAATTACCAGCTTTCATTGATTCTAAGTTAAATCAGAGATAAACCTTTTTCGAAAACGATCACTCTTCGTTGCCTTTTGTCTGACAAACAAGTTGCTGAAGTAAGAATATCAGCATTCTAGTTTAAAATAATCATTTCGTTCTATGGTCGATACAAAACCTTTGTAAGCAAATACAATTGCTGACTACTGACTGACATTTTCATACTAATTTTTACGCCATTATGTTCACACTGAATTATCAACGGGTTTTTCCGTTACTTCCCAACCATGACAAGGAGCATACAACAGGTGTGACCGGTCGTAAGAAGATGCTCACTCCTCCATGACACCTGATCCAATCTCTGATGTTTTGGATTCTGTGTTTTCTCTGCTTTTGTTTTGTATTGTTTACTGGACTTTCGAGGTTCAATACTGTTCGTTATCTCCATATATCTCACCAAGGCAATCTGAATGACAACCATCGGTTTTACCTGTATTTTGTTTTAACAAACTCTATTGAACCTCCTTCAAAAAGTAATATAAATGTCAGACCGATTTTTAATTTTTGGCAGTAAACAACTTTTGCGTTTTAATTTGTGTATATTTATACACGTGAATTAAGTAATAAAAATATAATTTATTCTAGATTTTTTTTAAAAAATATGTAATAAAATTCATCAGGCTAAATCAAACCTCTTTCTTTACTCCTCACTTAGATATCAAAATTAGTGTAGAAGAAGCTTTAAGAGTACTATGCAACAAAGTATTCAATAAGTGGTGTAAATCAGATGTGGATGCTTAAAATCCAAGGGAACTTTTGGACACCGGTAATTTGAAATCACAAGATTTTACCATAATCTACAGCTTCAGAACTTACGACTTTTCAACTATATACACAACCCTTCCCCATGATAAATCCACGATAAGTCCAGGCTTTCCGATATCATTGACAGCTGCTTTTTTCAATAAAAATGGAACTCGTAAACTTCTTACCTTGTCATTGGTCATTTGCAAACCTAAGAAAAAATTCAGATTATACACACGAATACTCTAAAGTTGAGCTTGAATATCTGTTAGACAGTATCTACTTGCATGTATTTTTGGAGACCAGGTCTTTCAACAATCGATTGGAATTTCCACTGGTACCAATTGCGCCCCGTTAATAGCAGACCTATCTTGTATTCATATGAAACAGAATTATCCAAAATCTAATGCGTAAAAACACTTTTTGTTACCTTCAACACGATATTTTTACATATCGACGCCTTATTGTAAATTAACAATGGTAATTTCCATCATAATATATGATATATACTGGTGAGCTAAAAGATACCACAGAGTCTGACAGATCTGTTTCATATTTGGATTTTTCACTTGAAAGAGACCTGAAAGGCAATCTAACAAATAAGTTCTATTAGGAACGTTTTGACTTTTCAATCGTAACTTCAATTACTTTTGCAGCAATTTACCTTCATCACTTGCATCAGGAATTTATACAATTATCTCAATTGATACCCAAGAGCATGCCCTACGTATGAACAATTTCTAAAACGAGGTGAATAATTGACAAACAAGTTGATGAATCAAGACTATCAGCAGTCTCGTTTAAAGTTGTCATTTCGTAAGTTCTATGGTCAATACATTGACCTTCTCAGCAAATACAATTTATCATTGAGTCAAATGCTGACTGACGTTTTTCATACTAATTGTTAGTCCATTATTTTTACACTGAATTGACAAGGCATTTTTCCGTTGTTTCCAGAAGTTGACAAGGAGCACACGGCGGGTATGACCGGTCAGCAGAGGATGCTCACTCCTCCATGGCACCTGATCCCACCTCTGATGTTTTGGAGCTCCGTGTTTGCTTTGCTCCTAATTTGTATTGTTTATGGACTTTAAACTTGCATACTGTTTCATATCTCCAAACATTTCAGTCTATAAATTTCTTTTTTTTTAAAGAATTTAGATCAAAAGACAGATCACTTGACATTAATTTTTAGGGACATTTCGACTTCAGCATTACAAATTAATTGCAGATTGGTTATCTTTCATCAAAATTTCTCGAACTGATTCTCTCTTGATTCATTTTTATATTTGTACTATAACACCCCTACTAATGTGTTCGGAACTTTTTATTTTTCGGTGTTCTACAAATTATAAAACCCGATGAGTTCAGAGTAGCTCTGGCAGTGGCTCTGGCGAGAGCGAATACAAGATAGGGTAAATTATTCACGGAAATGTGGCTAGGAAGTGACTACCACGTGAAGACATGGTAAACAGAAAAGTTATGTTGCGTTTTAGTTTTCAGCACCCTATTATATCATTCTGTAGAAATGTACTTCATTGATCTCTCTTGAATTCATTCAAATTTAAATTATAAGTATTATCTATGTTATCTATGATACAATTTTCTGCTATCATGTTAGTCCATTATTTATACAGCTGAATTGCATCATGGGTTAAGGCAGGATTTTTCTAGATAAATTCCTGTATTGTACTATCGGTGAATACAATTGTGTTTGACCACGAGTATAGTTATGTATAAAATGTTTTGTCCATTTAAACTGTTACAATGAAGCGCATTGAAGTGGTAAAATTTTCCATTTGGACGAAAAGTTCTGAGTCATGTTTTGAAGGTCACTTATAGCATAACGACACGCCCATTTCTTTAGAAACGAGAAAGGAATATTCGTCGTAATGTTTTAGGACACTGCACTTCCCGCGACAATCAACATGAGTTACACCTCCCCGCTTATGGAAAACACACATTGCAACGATTTTGTCCGTGATTTATGATTTTATCATGTTTACTGGAGCTAGCATGGCACATGTATTTGCTCGGTGCGTCAATTTCATTGGATGTTATATTTATGTATTGTTTTATGTTTTCCTTTCTAAAGAAACTTTAGCTCAAAACTTTTCATCCGAACAGACAATTTTACCACTTCAATGCCCTTCATTGTAAATGCATATGAACTTGACACTAAACATATACATTTTATAAACTTTTTTTTCTAAAAAACAACAAATTAAAAGCGCCCGTGACATCTTTCATACTTTCTAATCTTTGCATTTTGTTCATATGAACATTTCATTTTATTTTAAACTCTATTGATATGATCATAGATTGACCTGAACCACGTGTTCGAAGTGAAATCTAAACCTGCATTTGGCGTGAACGTATTCAATCAACAAATAATCAATTGCTCGTGGTTAGATCCTCTGTGCGCATTATAACAATAGCCATATAAGGCAAATAAAGGTTTGCCCGTGTAGATGATATTACACATTTTTTTACCAGTATCGGTCGCTAGTGAGCTCTAATTTTTGTCGTAAAATTAAGATATAATTGCATTTAGCCACCCTTTTCTGTTGAAAATCATGAAAGTCTATCAGAAAGGTCTGGAAACACATTTTTCACAGGACATGTTTTTAAAAGAATTAAACGGACTATAGCAATTTCCTGTTTACTGCCAATTTAATTTATAAAACCGGTTCTACCCTATTTTTATATTTGAAGTTAAATCACAATAACAATAGTAGGGGTGTATAAGTGCAATTTGAAAGAAGCTTTTAACATTACAGATTAACGTTCTATGGTAGGGTTCCCCATTGAGATCAAAGTTGTTTCAGCCTTAAATGTAAGAAAAAATAAATGAAAAATAACTATACATGACCCAATTTGCAATGAAGTTGAAATAACTGTGAGCAATACATGACCCAGCCTCCCATATGAATATAATGGCAATGGAAAATCAAAAATATACATCAGATCAAAAAGTAAAATATGCACAATAGCAATATGTAATTAAGAATGTGAAAGTTTCATTAAATTTCCTTCAGTGGTATGAGAGGATGCATTATAAGCATGTCTTTATCCCACTTTTCAAGCGGGGGGTATAATGATTGAGACATTGAATGCCTTATAAGCATATCTTTTCCCATTTGCAGGTAAAGATCCATTTCCTTTTCCCAATATAAAAAGGATATGGAGATAACGAACAGTATTCAATCTCAAAGTCCATAAAACATCACAAAACAAGAGCAGAGCAAATACGGACCTCCGAAACATCAGAGGTGGGATCAGGTGCCACGGAGGAGTGAGCATCCCCTGCTGACCGGTCAAACCCGCCGTGTGTTCATTGTCATGATCAGGAAATAACGGGAAAATCCAATTCAGTGTATAAAAAATGGAATAACAATTGGTATGAAAAAGTCAATCAGCATTTGACTCAATGATAAATTGTATTTGCTGACAAGGTCATTGCATCGACCATAGAACTTACGAAATGATGACTTTAAACGAGACTGCCGATATTCTTGTTTCATCAATTTGCTTGTCAATAATTTACCTCGTTTTAGAAATTGTTCATACGTAGGACACGCTCAAGATTGCGTTTCGAATCAACTAGGTATATGTTGCAACTTTTATTGGAAGATCGCTCATTTTAAAGACTTTTGATTAAAAAGTGGTCCAAAATACATTTTAAATCCAAAACAATATTACAACCACTATAAATATTATTATTCAAGAGTGATAGTTATTTCAACAGTAATTGCAAAAAATATAAATATTGAGAAAAAAAAACTTTAAAAAACACATAGATATCAGATAATGAATATGTATTTCAGTTCTCCCAAAAGAACTTTAATAGATTTCTGTTTCTTCTTTGTCATTGACCATTAAATCAGGCAGTAATCGACTGAAGCTTCCCCTTTAGAAGTTCTCTACATCGATCAGCTCTATAAGTCCTCTACATCTATCAGCTCTTCCTGACTGGTGGCAGTATTAGTCTCCTGTCCTACTCTGTCGGTGGAACCAACTAAATTGGACCTTTTCTTAATCAGATAAAAACTTGCTACAATTTCCAAAACCTGAAAATAGAAAATCCGTATATTGCTCGTATTATTCCTTTCAACTTTTTTTTAATAGCAAGCATTAATTAGAGAAAGAGAGGAAAAACTACGGTGTTCATTGGAGTTTTCATCTAGATCCTCATGTGCTCTTTTTCCTGACATAATAAGTTTTTTTTTTGAAAATTCAAGGACTGATTTCTTTGTAGAGAAAAAAGAAAATATAAAATGTTTACAAAATCTACAAAGAAGAAAAGTGCCGGAAATCTTTCAATCAGAAACCTACTCTGTTTGAGAGGAATGTAAACATTTAGCACAAATGTGACCAATATTAGTAGTTTAGGTGCACTTACATGAGAGCAAAAATTTGTTACAGTATAGGCCACCATTAACCCGGCGGAGTCATAGAGTAAACCCACATTACTGCAAACCTGCAAGAAAAAGATAAAATTTCTTAGCTTATTAAATTGGTAGGTCCATAAAATATGATTCAGAGTTTATAACTGCATGTAGGAGAGAATAACTAGAATACCTAAAAAAGACAAAAATATTAAGTGGATGTAAAAAATATATATACTCACCGTCAATGAAAACGCAACACTCTAATTTTAGGGTGAAAAGTATATACGGGTTATAACTATGTACCAAAAAAAGTTAGGACATCTTTTACTTTGCCAAATCAGTTATTTAACGGTTGAATGAATTTCTTTCCTCTACCGGAAGTTGCTTTTTAGCCCTCTTAACAGAAATCAAATTTTTGCATTTTTAATAAAATTTTTAACAATATTTTGGGTTTTCAAGGTTTTGTAGCTGTTTATCATAAATATTGTACTAAAATCCCGGGAAAAAAATCCTTCTTTCTTTACCGGATGTGATGCCTATATTTCCTCAAAATGACTGATTTTCATTGCTAATGCTGGAAATTCTCGAAATAAAGAAAAAAGAGCTGCATATGCAAACGTACACTATATAACGACTCATCAGGCTCATGTGTTTCAATTGCATAAATTACAGTTTCTTGACCAGAAGTCCAAGAGTTACTACACTATGCCAAGTTAGAGAAAATTCGACCGCAGTATCTGAACAACAGGCAATTAAAAATGCCCAAGAATATTTATTTCGCTCAGATAAAGACATTGGTAAACCTAAAGTATGGTAGAAATCGGACTGCGTACATGTATGTTCTACATGGCGGACTTGCATGTTTTGATTAAATGGTCGGAAGGGGGGTGTTTTATTTAAATATTATCTTTTAAGAGGGCTAAAAAATCAACTTTCGGTAATGGAATGAAACCATTCAACCATTAAATAACTGATTTGGCAAAATAAAAGATGTCATAACTTTTTTGGTACATAGTTATAACCCGTATATACTTTTCACCCTAAAATTAGAGTGTTGCGTTTTCATTGACGGTGAGTATAGAATGATTGTACTTACTGTGTCTTTATATGTTTGTAAATCAGATGAAGCACAATAGGAGTCTGGATCACATATACAATATGCCTTAAAAACAAGGTTATATTTTACACCATATCAAATATTTATACTAATGAAAGTTGATTCCCTTTACAAGATAAACATTTTTAACAATGAGGAACAAAATTAAGACTTTTTTATTTATAAATACATGCACTTTACTTACCAAATTAAGAATAATCGACGATAATGTAAAACAGACAATATCGGAAAATATCCAAAGTAGTCGAATGATGAACACCTAAATAAGAACATTTCAAATTTTAATCAGAAACACAATGCTCCGTTGGGTATATGTATAGACAAAACTTCTGTTGTAAAAATACTTACAGCTTTCAACAACTGCTTGCTCCATTTCAGCACTGCTGCAAATTCAAAACAATGGCAGGCAATATCCAGTGGAACGATGGCCATATGAGAATACATAAGACCCAATGTAGTCCAACCGTAATTCATATCATTTGTATATATCTTACACATTGCGTCTAGAAGGTCGGTATGTATATATCCAGGGGTAAGTCCCATTAGCACTAAGCCAACCCAAAACAGCATGCGGATGATCTACATAACATGAACATCTCATCATGTTTTCATTTATTTCATTAGTTTGAGGAAGAGTAATCTTAAATGATTAAAACTCCATCGTATTTTTTATTTTACTAAGAATGATCTTTTTCCATTAATTAACCATTTGATAAAGCACATAAAAGAATATAAGAAAAAGGTACAAAAACAACAACAACAACAAAAAAATCATTACTTTACTTACAAACATCAGCAGAAGGATAACAAAGTTAGCAACAATCGTTTTTGATGATTTTCTGATAAAAAAAAAACATAATGGATTTTTGTAAAGAGTATTTTCAAAAATCTAATCAATCGAATAATAAATCCATTAATTCTACTCACAAGTATGTAAATAGAAGACCAAACGTTGTTACAAATGCAGTTTTCTTGCTCGGTTTATCCCCAGCATACATATAGAGTTTATCGAGGATAATTATGCTTATCACCTAAAACAAATTACACTGCGTTTACAGAAATAATATTTCAATTAAAATTATTTCTTTTACCAAATCAAATCAAACTTCTAAATTCATGCATATTTGTATACATCCACTATAGGTTTATATTTTCATCTTAATTTTAAAATATGATAAAGGATACTCACATTCAGAACTATATGAATTGCCAAATACGAAATAAGAATAGCCACAATATCAAAAACATATGCAAGATTTGTATCGCAGAACTGAAAAAAAAAACAAGTAAAAAAATAAACAAAAGTCATGTAAACAAATCAGGTCATTTTGAGAAGAATTACAAAACGTGTCTTGTCTATGTGGCGCAGTATTTAAAACATTTACTCTAATGTCGTGAATTTTGAAATTAAATTATGTCGCGGGTTCGAATCACACTGCGGGAATTGAAAACCGGTCATTTGGATGAGATCATAGTAACATCCTCAAGGTCGCGTGTTACAGTAGAAAAAGCACAAAAAATATCCCTCGCTTCTCCACAACCCTACATGCCCAGTACAATTATACAATATGCATCCCTCCACCGACAAATGGTACCCTCAATATGTATATGCGAAAAAATTATCGTAGAGACTTTAAACAAACAACAAAAACGTAAATTCATTTTTCAGATTATTAAATATCCTAAAGTTTCAATATGCATTACATTCTCTTTACATGTATTTACCTGTGAAAATTTATATGAAAAATGAGAAGAACTTCGGTCAAAACAATCGTATGCCTAAAAGTAAAAAAAAAAAAACATATCACCAATACGTAAGTTCGAGTGTTTTATAATTTATTCATTAAGAAAATACTAGTAATAAAGATGTATTCATCTTTCAAATAATTAGAAATTGTTCCTAATTTCTAAAGAACAAAAACGAACTTTGACATTTATTTCAATGTATAAAGATACGCCAAAAATGTTTTATCAAATTACAATATTTTATTTCACAAGTTATCCAAACATTTTCCACTCATGAACTCAAGTTAAAGACCAGAGGATCATGGGCCAAAGGTTCAATTAGGATGCGTTTATATTCCATTTACAATAACATAGCTATGCTGTTCTTGAACAGATGATATTTAAAGTTTTTTTGAAGGTTTTTTCCCACAATATTCCTTGTAAAAAATTATCTCCCAATGTGACCCCACCCCACTTAAACAAACTTGAATTTTCGCTATCTGGGGATATCAGTATGACTAATAATGGCTTCACTATTCTTGAGAACAAATCTTTTACATTTTTTCCATATAAATTCCTATGTAAAACCTTCATCCCCAATACCCTGATTCTACACTTGCGAGGATGATTCCACATCAAAGAAGACTTATCATGGCTTTATTGTACTTGAGAAAAAAAATTAAGATATTTTTCCATTATATTCCTTAAAAAACCTTTGATCCTCGTATGTGACCCGTCCTAACCACGAGGTTCATTTGATAATTTTTTTTTTTTTACTTCTGATGATTTTTCCATATCACTGTGTCAATGCATTGCTTTGCATTTTTGAACATACAATTTTGAAAAGATTTTTCGTGTAGATTTCTATGGTTAAATTCACCCCCCCCCCCCCTTCACTCATTTTTTGACAAACTGAAAATAATTACACAGTTTCTCTATCGTCTACCAGTACTTTGCCTGCATATTATGATTATGCATCCGAAATGTTTCAGTATCCAAAAGTATTGTTCAACATAGTTTTAAAATTCATATATTTGAAAGTAAAAGCATTTTATGCTTTTCACAGGATTAATGTTGTTGAATAATTTTCGTATTTTTTTCTTAAACGAGGATTTTTTTTTTGGTTCAAATATTGAAATTAGTTCTTACTTTAATTCTCTGAATGATTTTTTAGATCTTAATTTTAGCAAAGGACTAGACAATCAAGAATATTTTAGTGTAATTCCTTGTCTTGAAAATTATTTGATTCTTTTTTAATTACTTTTCATCTTTTAATCATGCTTTTTATGGGTAACGATATTTCTGAGTAAATTATCAGAATATACTCATCAGACATTAATTCATTGTCCCAACAACATCAAGTCTAACCTCATAAAAAATTATTTAACTTTTTAATCCCCAACATAAGGTAAAAAAAAGATATTTAATTGTCATAGTTTTACAAAAACCGAATCTATTCTTCATATTTTGCAATCGATTTATATATTAAGAAAAGGCTCCTGACTTACCGTATCCATAAGATAGGATGATTGCACAAGAAGGACTATCTCCCCAATACAGATAACGAAAATACTGGAAATTATCTAAAACAGAAAACAAAGATTTAAGAAAATAACAAATATATTGGAAATTATCTAAAACAGAAAACAAAAGATATCGTAAAATATGGTATGTACATTAATATTAAATTGCAATATTTTTGCATCTCATTCTGGGTATAAATTTACTTAAATATTTTAGCATTTTGATATATAAAAGCTTACTATATAAATGAAAACAGGACGACGGTGTAAACCAGCACAGAGCATAATCCCTCGGAAACATATAATTATAGGAATAATAGCCATAAGAGTGAAAGATAAAGCATTCAGAAGATCCTGCATGTCATAGCGATCTTTACTCAGAGCTCCGAGATCCTGCTGCACATCGTTGTTTATCGGAGAAAAGTTTATAAAGTACATAGTATAGACTGTTATACAGTACCCAATTTCTACAATCTAAAGACGAGAAAAAAGTTATTGATAATACAGTAATTCATTTTTAAATATTTCTATAAATTTTATTTGTTCCAATAGAAATTTTCAAATCAACTGTAATATAAATTTATTCAGTTTACATTACTAGAATGTTGATGGAATATGAATTAATCATTTCTGTTTGTTGGTCCAATGTTAAGTAATGCTCACAAGACTTAATCCTTGTACTCCATTGAAGAATTTGTAAATATTCTCTTCAGCGAATAATGACTTTCTGTAAAATAACAACATTGGCATACATCGGCTTGTGCACTCAAGTGCATAAGATATGACAAATCAAATTTTACCACTTTAAACAGGGAAGTTTTTGCAACCAGTATATTTTCGCCTCTTTCGCCCTTGTCACAAATGAGAGTTTTAAAGAGAATAAGATTTTTTTTATTTACCACAAAATAAAGAAGTAACGAAAAACAATTAAAAAGAGGAAAATATGTTTACAAGTTTTATTGGGCAATATTAATACCTGCTAAAATAATTCTGAAATTGAATTTGTAAATAAAAACTTGCATCTTATGCCAAACAGTCGTAAGACATATCTTTAAAACTCCTTTCTTGTCTTCATCGTCTTTTAGAAAGGGATACATCCTGTCCACGAGTTTGACGTATATGATCTAGGTTTATAAAATAAAATTATAATTCTCTTTATATAGTTAGCGATCGATATGAAAAAAATAGAAATAGGCATTGAAAGAGTTGATAAAATTTTTACATTAAGAAGGAGATGGGGCGTTATAAATGATAAGTTGATGACTCCAACATTGTATATCACGTCCCTGCAGGTATCGCAGCTCTAAAAGAACAATGAACAATTATTTTAAAAAAAACCAACACATCCCAAATGTGAAAATAAATTAGCAGTGACCACATTTAGTATAAATTATTATAGAAAATGAGCTATGCAACTTACAGATATGGTGTAATAGATGCCAAGCTCTTCACAACCGAAGGTGTAGAACTTTGGGGAAACAGAAGAGTTTTGTAAGAACAAAGTATTTTATTTATACCACACCATTTAATTAAGTTTGCTTTCCTACATAAAGTACCAAAAATGCGTACATTGTTGTGCAAAAACAAGATGGAAAATACCATATATCTACTTACAACATTCATAATGATCGAAGACTGGACAAGCATGACAATTTCTCCGATAATTAATGTTAAAAATCCTAGAACAAACTTAAAAAAAATATCATTTTGAGAAATCAAATGTACAATAATCCACTAATTTTCATTTTGCATAAAAAGGTTATTTATACATTTCATTCTATTAAAAAAAATAAAAGACCCCATTAAAGATTCCTACCATTAATAAGAAATATTTTAACTTACAAAAAATGACACATTAAGTTTCCTTTTGAACAGGATCAACCAAAGCAAAAAAGGACGGACGATCATACACAAAGGAATTACCGCCATCAATGTGTAAGCGAGTCCATTAATTAAATACCGGATATTATAAATATGGTGGTATAATTGTCCGATGCCATTCTGCACCTCAGAGGTATACACATGGACAAAATAATAAATAACTACTGCGAATCCAAATGATAGTTCAACAACCTGCAAAATAATAAATGTTATGTTAAATTGACTAATTTGATGGGATAAATTTATCATGAACATCAAATAAAATTCATGCCTTTTTCTTTAAAGGTATATCTCAATGCTTTTAATGAAACATATGGAGATAACGAACAATATTCAAAATCAAAAGTCTATAAAACAATACAAAATAGGAGCAGAGCAAACACGGACCTCCAAAAGGAAACAAATGGGAAAAATCCAGTCTGTTTAAAATTGACATATAGAGAATGAATTCTACTCACCAATGTCGATATTGTCAGTACTATGATAGCTGTGACCGGATTATCGGAAAGTTTTCCTAGTACTCTTTCTTTAAATCTGTAAATTATCAATTAAAACTAATCATGGATTAAAGTATATTTTACAAAGTTTGGCGGCTCATGAAACTTTTCATTCATTCTTTCGCTAACTGTATAAAGATAGTTGAATACTTATGAATGTATTACCTGATAAAATTTTGTTTCAAAGACTGCATAGAAAGCATAAATATCCCTTTGCTTTTAAAAGTGTTCGTGTAGAATCTATTACACAGGACAAGCCAAGCAATCTGTTACATAAAATATGGAAATTTATATTAAAATTGTTTAGCAAGACCACTCCTTCTTAATTAAGTTTGTTAAAATTAGAAATCTCCTTACTTGGCTACATTTATTACGAAAAGTATAAAAAGTTACATGTTTTTAAGTAAAATAATCCATTCTTACAAATATTTTTTCTCTGAAAAATAAGCCTATAAGAAGTTATAAGATAAATACAAAAGATTTCCTGACGCTTGGTCAAAAAAGTAATCTTGTACAAGACATTTTTCAGATTATATTTTATTGCTCGTTAAGTTCCACTAATACAGGTGCGTTAGGTTTCTCTTTCGTTAAAATTACCTGCACTAGAAAGGTAACTAGCGTGAACGTCCAGAAAAGCCAGATTTCCATGGCGGTGCTTTTCCACAGGTCGCTTTCTCCAGAGCACAGCTAGGAATTCATATAACACATGCTTAGACTGAGAAAACATTACAATTATCTGTCCTATTATGTTCTCAGAGACATTTGAGAAAAATTATATTTACCATGTATAGGTCATTTTTCTCAGAGTAGAACTCACATTGGCTTATACCATCCAAACAGCAGTACACCTGAAAAGCATACGTAGCAACAGGATTACTATATCATACAGAAATAATCAAATACGTAAATTGATAGATAAATGTGATTAAGCACTATTTACCAATCTAAGCGGTAAGTTCACCATAAACCATGACGTAATTTGTAGTAGAAATAGGAAAATCCCAACCCAATATACCTATAAATAAATATACTAGTTTTAATATGTAACAAAAAGTCTGATTAAACGTTTGAACATCTTAGCTTTGGCTAACTGCTCTGAAAAGAGACTGGCTTAAAGTAAAACGAGAAACGTATTACCAATCCACAGGATCAAGTTCATAAGCTTTTAATCAGTAAAGATATTAAAATAGCAATATTTATATATTTATTTAAAATCCATACTTACGCCGATTAAAAGTTTAGAATTTTCCAAATACAGCCCCACAAAAAATGGTATCTGCGTTAGGAATAAGAGAATAAGAGTAACAACCATCATTATATATGACATGTCGCGAATGGTTCCAACGTTTCCATAAGTTCCGTTATGAAAAATCCCGTGTAGTGTGTCGGTAATTCTCGTATAGGCATTTTGGTCGTATCGCACCGTCAAAAGTCCACATAGGAAAATGGTACTGAATACCTAAAAAAGAGAACAAAATTAAGTGATAAAAATATATTTCAGTTAAATACAACGTAAGCGTAATTTTACTTACCATCATGAATACTCCCACGCCAACGTTTGCTGCTGTAAGCGGTGCCCTGAAAGGTAAATGAGAAGGAACAAGGTAAGATCTTTACATGTACATTTTGATTTTAAAATTTTAATTCAGTTTATGTAACCAAATAATTTAAAACGAATATGATTATATTGAATATGTAATTCATTTGCTTTTACCCTTTAATTTTCAAAAACAAAAAATATATAAATCCGCCTTGTCCCTTATCCTTCGCAGGGCTAATTGCCTTGAATATTCTATCAGCCATTACGAGATGTATTGTCTGTAAAAAAAGAAGAAGAGGAAACTTACATAGATCTAGAAGATCGTGTTAAAAGAATTATTTAATTCTATTTAAAATACAATCCATTATTTTTTAACTCTCTAAAAATCCATTTATATTTTGTATAATGTTATGATTTTTTTGTTTACTTTCTTTTCAACTTTCAGTAAGCTTTGATTCTATAAACATGTAAGCATTTTTTCCCTTTTAAAGTTGATCAAAAGTCATGAGGTTCTTTGGGTTTGTAAGTGTATCATTCGAAGTTTGAACCAAATATGTTATAAAAATATATTAATATATATTAATAGAAACTCCATACCTTTATTGCTATGTGAAATACCAAAAATCCAAACGACAACCATACGATAATCGTAGCTCTATCCCAGATTCCCAATGTATTGCTACATAGCTGTAAAAGGAAAATAGTAGATGTACTCATAATGTACTCATTATATTTACACTATCTTTATATCAATCTTCATAAAAATAGATAATATGATAGTAATTTACCTCTTTCCCGTGATCATTATTTGAAAATTGGCAGTGGTAGCTTTCAATGCCAACTATGCAACAGTAAAGCTGCAAGAAAAATGAGCAAAAGTATGTTTACATTTCTCAAAAATTGTGATTAAAAACACTGAAGTAAGAGTACACTGATTTTTGTTGAATTAAATTATATTGAATCGTATATTATTTTACCCCATCATGAAAATGAGAACACAGCATTGGTGATCGGTCTATGTTTACTCCTCGATCTATGGCACGTGATCCCACTTTGGTGTCTTTAGAGGTTCGTGTTTGCACTGCTTCATATTTTGATTCTTTCAATGGGCTTTTGAGCATTATTACTGTTTGTTATCATTATTATATTTATTAATTCAGTATATGATTTTAGCAACTTACCATTCTTATTAAAAAGGTGAAAAATATTAGAATGATGACTTCTACCACCAGCACGAAAAACTCGCTAATTATATACTGCAAAAAGACAAATATATCTTTTTATTGTAAAAAAAAAAATATATCAATAGTTCTTTCTACAGGAAAAAAAATTGTATCGATATAAATCATATATCTTGTGGGAGAAAAATGCTTACCACTATCAGTGCAATGCGTTTCCTTTTATATATTGCAATGAAGTTTAAAATTTTCAGAACAATCGAAACTAATAAAACGCAGAGAAAGGTTATAGTAAGTATGTATTCTAGGTATCCCATTGATATTCCATCTCTCCATATTTGCCAGATGACGTCCTTTAGGTAGTAGTCACGAAGCCAACTAAAAGTCAGAATCAACAAAGAAACACCCAACGCTATTTCGTATATCTACAAAAAACAATAGAAATAGGAATATCAAAATTTATTTATACTTTAAAATCGACCTCATTTATATTCACCGCTTTAAATTAATCAGTTATTACTTTGTTCATATTTCCTCTAAAGCAAAGGTATACAAATAATAAGTTCAGACTTCAGCGGATGTTTATTGTAAAGTTAAACGAATGATATTAAATTTAAAAAAAAAACTTACTATATCAAAAATCTTCAAAAATCCAGATATCCATAAAATTTTATTTCTGAAATAACAAAAAATAGATGCATTATTTTTTTGATTTGATTGATATAATTCAACATAAAATTTAATTGTTTATTATATAAAGCCATGTTCATTTTTATTACCTCTGCCAAACAGCCACTGAGTACCTATGAAGATCTGCCAGTATTCCGTTTGTAAATTTTTTCCTCTCTCTAACGTCTTTGATGTCGGTCTTGCTCATTCTGTACATATACTCTGTAACTGCCACTGACACACACTATATCGTGCAAAACAGAAAAATATATATTTGAACACCAATCCTTTTTTCAAACATTTTATTTAATATTACACTTAGAGGTTTCATTTGAAAATATATGTTAAGGACATACGCAACATACCTTATCTACTGATAATTTTTCAAAAAGATTATAGTGCCATCAGAAATCCAAAGACAAAAAAACAGCATGCATTATAATTACCGGGGGTTTGAAAAGATATAAATTGATGAAAAGTTAAAGAAAAATTTACAGAAATTACTGAGCATATATTCTCGATGTTTTGTTTATCCAAACTTGTTTCAAAATTGTACAACAGCATATATAGACAATAAAATATAGCACACGGTCCCTTCAAGTATTGGAACTCATCAACTGTAGGGGTAAATACAATAAAGTTCAAACTATGTTGCGTATGGAGAATCATATTTTTGCTTATCATATACATGTATGTTGCTGACTCCTTTCTGAATCTTCTTGAAATTCCATCTTCTTAATCATTTTATTTAGACATAAAGTGACTTTAATAATACGTTAAAAAATAAAATTTTGATTTAAAAAAGATACTGACACTTGCAATTATGTTGACAGATAGGACAGCTAAGTAGAAACTTCCGTAAGTTGTGATGAAACTGTGGATGACATCGAGACATGCCGTCGAGAAATTACAGTAGTAGCTCCAATAGTCTACAATCCAGGCATTGCTGGTCGGTTGTCCCGTCACGTTACAGCATTCTAACTACAGAGATAGAAACAAAATTCTTCGATATTTTTCTTGAAACAGAATCATTTTCCTTACTAAAAGTATTTTCAACCAAATTCAAAGGAAAAAATTGCATATCATTTCATGAAGCAACAAGTACAGAAAAAAGGGGTACGATAAAGGTGGGATAAACAAAAGATATTGCAATGATGTTATCTTAAAAGAGTCAGTCTAGTTATTAATTGCAGTAAATACTTGAAATCAGGTATTTCATGCATTTCCGAAACTGTTCAGTAAAGACGAGTATTCACTGACTGTACATTGAGGAACTGCGTCAGAATTTCATAAATATTATGGATTCTGTAGGAGATTACGCCAGGCGATGGGCAAGATACGAAAAAAGACGTTGAAAATTTGTCAAAATGGATTAAATGTATCTGATCAATGTTACAATCGGGTATTAAAATACTGAGGGGCAATATGAAAACTATCTATCCTTCTGTATTCAATAACCAATAACAAAAATACATAGCAGGTTTCAGTAAACGTTCAACCAAGCCTATTTCTTCACTCCTCACTACGAAATTAACAGTGGTGAAGAAGAAACTTCAAGAGCACTGTGCTACAATTTATTCGAGAAGTGGAGTAAATCAGATGTGGATATTTAAAAATTTCAAGGAACTTTTGAAAAAAATTGAAATCACAAGATTTTACCAAAATCAACAGCTTAAAAACTTTCGAGTTTTCAACACAACCATTCCTGACGATAAATTTAGTTCCAGGCTTTTTGATATCATTGACAGCTGCTTTTTCGATAAAAATGTGAACTCGTTAATTTACTTTAAATGTTTAAAACTTTTCATCTCAGTAGGGGGGGGGGGGGGGTTCATACTAAATAATCACAATTATAAAAATATTCAGAACCAAATTTGTTCGTTCAAATATGAATCATAAATTTTAAAGGACGCCTTTAACATATCAAATCAAGCGCTTTAGGTCAGGATCTAGTAAATGTCTTTAGACTAACTTCTTGGTGCTAGATCCCGTAACTTACAACTCTAATAGAATTATGTAGAAAATAAAGCATTTTCGTGGAATTCAATTTGAAATTACATGAAAAGTAGTCCCGATACCTATATTGGATTTGACATTCTTTCAAAGAAGAGGCCATGAACATACAAATTACCGTTTTCTGAAAGACTGTAGGCAATTTGGATACATTTTCTTTGTCTGATATGGAAAAAACTCCTATATTCAAGACTATTTTTCTTAATTTTTCATTCGAAATGACAGTTTAATATATGATTTTTTTATCGTGATTACTGACAAATTATGCCCCGAAATAACTTATTTGATCAAGTTAAAGTTATGAAGCATCATTAAAGTAATTTATTTCTCGAGATTGGCACCATTCATTTACTAGAATTTGACATTAATTGACTTTTTTTAACTGATTGTTAGACCATTATTTACACAACGCATTGTAGATGAATTTTCCGTTCTTTCCCGATCATGACAAGGTGCAAACGGCGGGTGTGACCGGTCGGCAGGGGATGCTCACTCCTCCATGGCACCTGATCCTACTTCTGATGTTTATGGTGTCCGTGATTGCTCTTCTCCGGTTATGTATTGTTTGAACGGACTTTTGAGCTTGAATACTGTTCGTAATCACCATATATCACCATATATTTCATTCATTAAATTAAAGACATGGTGAAGCATTTCTTGTTGCAATCATGCAGGGTTTGACAGAAATATTTTTTCCATATATAAGTTAAGAGCCTCTATATGTCCATAGTGTGTAATCTTTGCTTGAAGTAATTCGCGTTATCAATTATTGAACGATCCACACATATTTATGCATATTCATTAACGCTAATTTGAGAGAAAAAAACAGCGTGCAATTTACTACGTAGTCGTAATAGCAATACATGTAGGTAATCCGTTCAATTATGTAAATTGCACTTCATCAGGGTAGATCCGACAAACAGGAATTTTTTAGAAGCGGTCTGGATTTCTTTCTTTCTTTACAGTGATAGGTTATAGGCTTTCAAATCGAATATGAAACGTTGTAAATATACAGTGTCTGGTAGTTTATGGATAGTGCAATTGATTTTTTTGTTTGTTTCTCTATTTCCTTTTTTTATAACTTCATGACTATGTTATTTTTTGAAGCTTTGAATTCTTACAGTTCTAAAAAAGTTGGACCAATCCTGATAGTCACTTCTAAAGATCATTCTGTCTGTCGCTGCTGTGTGGGCCAACTCAAATTCGTCCGATGTTGCATGATCATTCTGAAATTCCACAATAAGCTATGATACAGATTAATCTATAGAACAAGAGGCCCATGGGCCTTATAGGTCACCTGAGCATTATGCCACAACTTTCCAGTGATTGAATTTGATCCATGTTTTAAGCCAGATGCTATAGCATTTACAATTTTGATCATCATGACTATACACTTAGCAGTTGCTTAGTTTGGTTACTTGATACCTATAGGCAGGGTAGGGGAACAAAAATGCATTTCAACAAATCAGTAATATTCAGCAATAATCAGTAGTGCCGCTACCACACATGAACCCTTGACTCTTAGGCCTAGATCCACACATTGCACAATTTTTGAAAAGGCATCCTTGCTTTTCAAAAGTATTTGATTAATACCAAGGAGCAAATTTCAAACAATTCATTATTTTTCAGTATATAAGTACAGCCCCCCCCCTATGGTACGGTAACTGACCCTGGGGCCTTGAAATTCACAATTCTGGAAGATTAGGGTCCTTGCTCATAACTATATAGGTAGTTCATATGCTTAATACCCAGGAGCAGAGAAGAAAATATTCAAAGATTTAATGTTTTTTCACTATATAATCAATAGAGCCCCGCCCTAACATCAGAACCCATGACCCTGGGGCCATAAATTCACAATTTTGGTAGAGGCATTCTTGTTCATCATAACTATGTACTTAGTTTATTTAATACTTTGGAGCAGAGAAGAAGATTTTCAAAGAATTCGTGTATTTTCACTATATAATCAAAAGAGCCCCGCCTTAACACCAGAACCCATGACCCTGGGGCCATAAAATTCACAATTTTAGTAGAGGCACTCTTGCTCATCATATCTATGTACTTAATTAGTTTATGTAATACCCAGGAGCAGAGAAGAAGATTTTCAAAGAAATAATGCATTTTCACTATATAATCAATACAGCCCCGCCCTAACACCAGAATCCCTGACCCTGGGGCCACAAAATTCACAATTTTGGTAGAGGCACTCTTGCTCATCATAACTATGCACTTAGTTAATTTATTTAATACCTAGGAGCAGAGAAGAAGATTTTCAAAGAAATAATGCATTTTCACTATATAATCAATAGAGCCCCGCCCTAACACCAGAACCCCTGACCCTGGGGCCATAAAATTCACAATTTTGGTAGAGGCACTCTTAAAGCTTGTTCATCATAACTGTGTACTTAGTTAGTTTATTTAACACCCAGGAGCAGAGAAGAAGATTTTCAAAGAAATAATGCATTTTCACTATATACTTATTTTGCCCCGCCCTAGCACAAGAACCCCTGACCCCAGGGCCATGAATTTCACAATTTTGGTAGAGGACTCAATGCTGATTACAATCATGCAAACAGTTTGACTGTTTAATGTCCAGGAGTAAAGAAGAAGATTTTTAAAGATTTCATTAATTTAAGTGGTTTTGGCCCCACCCCCCAGGCCCCAGGGGGGCACGGATCATGAAATTCACAATTTTTGTTCCCCTTTGCCCATAGATGCTTTGTGCCAAATTTGGTTGATATTGGTTCAGTGGTTGCAGAGAAGAAGCTGAAAATGTTCAAAAGTTTATGACCGATTGACGACGAACGACGTACAACAACGGATGAAAACAGATAGCAATAGGTCACCTGAGTGACTCAGGTGACCTAAAAATTAAAATCGAATATATTGATATCATATCTAGAATAACACGCACATACCTCACTCACAATCCATGATACTAACGATAGGTACACTACTTCCATGGCAATTAAAGGCAAATGACCAACAGCATGCTACAAAACATTTTTTCAACAAATAATTCTAAAATGTACTAGTATATAAAAACACCAGATTTGGTCAATTTTCTTTTAAAATCAGTTTTAAACATATATTTATTCACTTGACTAGAATAATATCATAATTAGATATTTAACATATTGCTTTTGATTATTAAATTCATGTATATGTTTGAATGATTTTTTTTCTGAAATTTTGCTATTTTTTTTTAAGGAAATTAAGAAATTGATTACAAAAACATTTTTAGTTAAATTATTTCTAACATTAATACTACAACGATACAACCATATTATGCAAACATGTTTTATAGAGAGAAACTTCATAAATTCTGCAAATACAGTTTATCATAGAGTCAAATGGTGACTGGCGTTTTTCATACTAATTGTTAGTTCATTATTATTACACTAAATTGACGACGGATTTTTCCGTTATTCGATCATGACAAGGAGCACAAGGCAGGTGTGACCGGTCGGCAGGGGATGCCAACTCTTCAATGGCACCTGACCCCACCTCTGATGTTTTGGAGGTCCGTGTTTGCTCTGCTGCTATTTTGTATTGTTTTATGGACGTTTGAGCTTGAATACTGTTCGTTATCTCCTTATGTTTCATCAACGTGAAACCATTTTTAGGATTATAAGAAATCCGATCAGCGATCATATTTCTGTACCTCATGAAACCTGTTTTTCATCCTATTCATATAACTGAAAACATTTCTTGAAACGGCGCTTTTTTACATTCAGCAAACCTCAGACAATTCCGTATTTCACATTTTAAAGTTTCAAAAATCATTATTTCTTTGGATAAAAATAAAATGAAAACAGTTTTACATGTAGATGAATGACAAGTATGTTTAAGAAATGACATCAGCACACTGTGCAAATGTAAATTTTGGTGCATCTATACTATCATAATGTTACTTTATGTAATAACCATATAGAAGTGGTTAGATAGGGACAATTGATTTTTTCGAGATTTGGTGTATGTTCCTTATACTGAAGCATTATCGTTTTGATGTCATGTACTTTAGTTTCATCCAACTGCAACGTTAACTTAATTCCCCATTTTTCTTTTGAAGTATGCGATTTTAAATTTGAAACTTTCAGAATCCCTTTAACATTGAAAATGAAAAATAAAATTGACTTGACTTTTTTAAATGAATGTATTTTTTCTTTTCATAGCAAGCACAAAAGAACAGATCAAATCATTCTTGAATTTTGTCGTTCAGGTTTATTTGGCAATATAACAAAAAGAGAGAAGATGGAATTTTCAATATAAAATATGGAGACATCGAACTGTAATCAAGCTCAAACGTACATTGAAGCAATACAAATCGGTAGCAGAGTTAATACAGACTTCCATAACAACAAGGGTGGGATACGATGCCATGGACCGGAGAGTATTAAGCATCGACGTCATACCGGCTTTAACTGAAAAGAAAACTTCGAATGTTAGTACCTACCGTGATCAACAGAAACCTCATTCTTTTAAACAACATAACTAGGCCTATCAACCCTACAGCAGAGTAGAGCAACATAAAGGGCATCAGGGAGTAAATCAGGAACATCAGCGTGGATCCCAGGGGTAAGGCTCCGATGGTCACGTGATCTAGTATGTAAACAACCGACTCGTCCAGATAGGAGAGGTAGAACTTTATAATGAACCCACCAATAACATAGCCAATGGTTAATACCTTAAAATAAAGAAATGTGATCAAGTAAGTCTATATATTCTATTTACTTCGTATTTCTTAAACAGTAATAAATTATTTTTTTTATTATATGATGAAAATCAAAAATAGAATTGGTCTTATGAGGCATGTTATTATTATATATGTATTAAGATATATAATTATCATACTTCCAGGGAATCACTGCTTGTATTGGTCCATACTGTTTGATAATTCAGCTTTATGAAATATGATGTATGGAACGCCGTAACTGCCTTATGTGGAGAACTTTCATTATATGCTGGTACATTGTCATTATATGATGGTATTTCATCATAATATGCTGGTACTTAGTCATTATATGATGGTATTTTGTCATTATATGGTGGTATTTTGTCATTATATGATGGTACTATGTCATTATATGATGGAATTTATCATTATATGCTGGTACTTTGTCAATATAATAATCATGATGGCATTTTGTCATTATATGATGGTACTTTGTCATTATATGATGGTACTTTGTCATTATATGATGGTATTTTATCATTATATGCTGGTACTTTGTCATTATATGATGGTACTTTGTCATTATATGCTACTACTTTTCATTATATGCTACTACTTTGTCGTTATATGCTACTACTTTGTCATTATATGCTACTACTTTTCATTATATGCTACTACTTTGTCATTATATGCTACTACTTTTCATTATATGCTACTACTTTTCATTATATGCTACTACTTTGTCATTATATGCTACTACTTTTCATTATATGCTACTACTTTGTCATTATATGCTACTACTTTATCATTATATGCTACTACTTTGTCATTATATGTTACTACTATGTCGTTATATGATGGTATTTTGTCATTATATGATGGTACTTCAACATTATATGAAGATAATTTTTAAATAGGCATAACATCGGGATACCCTTAACTAGTAAACTAGTTTAAGGAAAAAATGGCACAAAGTTGTGAAAACGCGATCACATTGAAAAGCATCCTCGAGGAACTAATGATTGGTCTGCAGGTGATCGATAGATTTGTAGATGACAGAATAGATGTTGATAATATTTTAAGCTTGTCAGAGCGATGAACAATTGAGCAGTTCTGGAATTACTACTATTGGCGATCGAATTCGTCTCCGAGAAATGGTCAAATGCAAGACCGAGAGAGGTTCAAACTGTGTGTGTGCGGGGGGGGGGGGGCGGTAAACTACGTGCCTGTTAGCTGGAAAACCAACGGTCCCGGATTTTGATTTTTGACGATTTCTCTTTTTCAAGATGCGCAGAAAGTATTCAAACTTTTCAGGCACATTTTCGAGGTTTAAATGAATTCATTCGTACATAAAAACTTTAACAAATTTGTGTTTTTATTACTGAACCAGATGTATCACCTGCCAAAAAGCGGTAAATCTAGTACTCTGTTATAAATGTGAAAACCAACAAGAGGCCCATGGGCCACATCGCTCACCTGAGTAACTTGGGTGATGCAGATCTTTTTAAAAGATTTGTTCTATATATATTTCTATGTTAAACTTGGATTCCCCATTGTGGCCTCTCTCTCTCTCGAGGGTCATGATTTTAACACATTTAAAATCTACACTATAAAAAGGATGCTTCCACATAAGTTTCAGCTTTCCTGGCCTACTGGTTCTTGAAAGGAAGATTTTAAAAGATTTGTTCAATAAATGTCTATGTAAAACTTGGATTCCCTATTGTGGCCCCGCCCTACCCCTGGTGGTCATCATTTTAACAATTTAATATTTACACTACCAAAAGATGCTCCCACATAAATTTCAGCTTTCCTGGCCCAGAAGTTCTTGAGAAGAAGATTTTTAAAGATTAATTCTATATATTTCTAGGTTAAACTTGGATTCCCTATTGTGGCCCCGCCCTACCCCTGGGGGTCATGATTTGAACAATTTAATATCTACATACATTAATCTTCCACTTAAGTTTCAGCTTTCCTGGCCCAGTAGTTCTTGAGAAGAAGATTTTTAAAGATTTGTTCTATATATTTCTATGTAAAATTTGGATTTCCTATTGTGGCCCCGCCCTACCCCCGGGGTTCTTGGATTTAGCAATTTAATATCTACACTACCCCAGGAAGCTTCCAGAAAAGTTTCAGCTATCCTGGCCCAGAAGTTCTTGAGAAGAAGTTTTTTAAAGATTAATTCTATATATTTCTAAGTTAAACTTGGATTCCCTATTGTGGCCCCGCCCTACCCCCGGGGGTCATAATTTTAACAATTTAATATTTACACTACCCAAAAATACTTCCACATAAGTTTTTTTTTCCTGGCCCAGTGGTTCTTGAGAAGAAGATTTTTAAAGATTTGTTCTATATATTTCTATGTAAAATTTGTATTTCCTATTGTGACCCCGCCCTACCCCTGGGGGCCATGATTTTATCAATTTAATATCTACACTACCCAAGGATGCTTCCACATAAGTTTCAGCTTTCCTGGCCAAGTGTTTCTTGAGAAGAAGATTTTCAAAGATTTGTTCTATATATTTCTATGTAAAACTTGGATTTCCTATTGTGGCCCCGCCCTACCCCTGGGTTCTTGATTTTAACAATTTAATATCTACACTACCCAATATGCTTCCACATAAGTTTCAGCTTTATGGCCCAGTGGTTCTTAGAAAAAGATTTTTAAAGATTTGTTCTATATATTTCTATGTAAATTTTTTAATTGTGGCCCCGCCCTACCCCCGGGGGTCATGATTTTAACAATTTAATATCTACACTACCCAAGGATGCTTCCACATAAGTTTCAGCTTTCCTGGCCCAGTGGTTCTTGAGAAGAAGATTTTTAAAGATTTGTTCTATATATTTCTATGTAAAACTTGGATTCCCTATTGTGGCCCCGAGCCTACCCCCGGGGGTCATGATTTGAACAATTTAATACTACACTACACCAGGATGCTCCCACATAAGTTTCAGCTTTTCTGGCCCAGTGGTTCTTGAGAAGAAGATTTTTTTATGACCCCACCCTATTTTCGTATTTTCTTGATTATCTCCCCTTGGAAGGGGTCTTGGCCCTTGATTTTAACAATTTAAATTCCCCTTCACCTAAGGATGCTTTGTACCAAGTTAGGTTAAAATTGGCCCAGTGGTTTTGAGAAGAAATCGAAAATGTGAAAAGTTTACATAAAAACTTTAACAAATTTGTGTTTTTATTACTGGACGCAGGTGATCACCTGAAAAGCTCATCTTGAGCTTTCAGCTAAATGTGAAAACCAAAAACGGATACCGAATCGCGATTAAAAACAACAAAAATTGAAAATGAAGTACAATTTTTTAAAACAAATAAAGGAAAACCTCATTTTTACATGCCAGATAATTTGTATGCATAAAAACACCCACATATTTTCTTTCTTTTCCTTGTATACTAATAGAACTCTTTGTCACATCATGTTCACAGCCGGGCTCTACGACGTTGACATGGTTCTACCTCGGAGCCGCCCTTTTATTCATTTTTTAATTTGATTGTACTTTTGTAACTTAATTATGTTAATAGCTTTGATTTAGCAGCAGTTTACCAGTTTACAGAATTACTTTTTTTTATTTGACAGACTGACAGAGTATCTCTTCACTTTCACTGTATCAGGTGATTAGGAAATTAATTATTTTACCTCAGCTAACACTGCTTCAATAAAGCTTTTAATAATAAGTGATTATCGTCTGCATTGACATGTTAAAAAAATTTATATGATTGAAATTCTTAAGGCAACTGACTTTAAAAGTCATTTTCATGTTATGAATTTTATAAAAATTAATATGTTCATATTTTTTTAACACCGCCAATTTCACTGAAATACTAATTCCATCTTTTTTTAAAGAAGAAATATCTTCCCAAATAATATCAATATTATGATCTACGAAACCTCACGTCTCCGCTCATCGCTATGCATCGATAATTAATGAGCATAACTTTAAATTAAATAAAGAAAATACGTAAGAGTTTTTGTGCATACAAATTATCTGGTATGTGAATGAGGTTTTCGGTTTTTTAAAAAAATATATATACTTCATTTTGTTGTTTGTTTTTGGTTTTAACATTTATAACAGAGTACTAGATTTACCGCATTTTGGCAGGTGATAGTCATACTGCTGATTCAGTAATAAATACGCATGTATCCTAAAGTTCTTATGCATTAGTGAATTCATTTAAACCTAGAAAATGTTATGAAAAATTTGAATAAATTCTGTGCACCATTAAAAAGAAATCCCTAAAAATCCTAAATCCGGACCCCTCGGGAGTCGAGAAAACTAGATTTACCGCTTGCCCTCAAAATTCGCCACTGGTGTTTGAACTTCTCTCGGTCTTGCATTTGACCATTTCTCGAAGACGAATTCGATCGCCAGTAGTAGTAATTCCAGAACTACTCAATTATTCATCGCTCAAGCTTAAAATACTATCAACATCTATTCTCTCTTCTACAAATCTATCGATCACCTGCGGACCCAGTTCCTCGAGGATGCTTTTCAATGTGATCGCGTTTTCACAATTTTGCGCCATTTTTTCCCTTAAACTAGTTTACTAGTTAACGGTATCCCGATCCCGATGTTATACCTATTTAAAAATTATCTTCATATAATGACAAAGTAGTAGCATATAATGACAAAGTAGTAGCATATAATGATAAAGTAGTAGCATATAATGACAAAGTAGTAGCATATAATGACAAAGTACCATCATATAATGACAAAATACAATTCATATAATGACAAAGTACCAGCATATAATGACAAAATACCATCATATAATGACAAAATACCATCATATAATGACAAAATACCACCATATAATGACAAAGTACCAGCATATAATGACAAAATACAATTATATAATGACAAAATACCAGCATATAATGACAAAGTACCAGCATATAATGACAAAATACAATTATATGACAAAGTACCATCATAAAATGACAAAGTACCAGCATAATTATAATGACAAAGTACCAGCATATAACGAAAGTTTTCCACATAAGGCAGTTACGGCGTTCCATATGATGTATAATCCACTATCACGATGTAGTACTTACCCGGATAATGAGGATACAGATGATAATTGTGGTCACTGGCTTTGATATAGTGGGTACATCTGAGGCCGCCATTGTGGTGTTCCTGAAATAACAAAGTGGAAAATAACTTCATAAATTCATAGATTGATGAATAATCAACAGGCATAAAAGAAATTAGGGTAAATTCTCGTAGTAGCATATTTAAATACTGGTTTCACGTACTCAGCAAATTCAAAAAATAATGTAATCGATTATCTTTTTATTGGTGTTTTTGATTAAGTATGAATGCAGATATTATCCAAAATTTATCACATCTCCAAATCATAATGTCGGTCAAAACAACTGTTAAACTGAACTCTAAATGATATTAGTCTTCACAAAAGTCGGAAGACAAAACAAGCCAGATGACTGAATTGATCCTTAATATACTTGGCTGATGCCATTGATCTCTTTTCTCATAACTGCAGCTCCGAAACACATTATCGACAACATTGAAAGATTTTAAAGGTCTTATTTTGTACAAATGTAGTAAACACATTTTTGTTAGAACCATACAATTCATGAAGCATTGGCCTTTTAACCCTCTTGTAAAATTTACTTCCTGGTTTATCCTTTATTTTATTTTTGTGCAACAGGGGGGGGGGCATGCCCCCCCCCCCCACTTTTTTCCCAACCTTACTTATACTGTAGGAAATGTTAATTGAAAACCTGGTTGCCCCCCCCCCCCCCACTTTTAGACTTTTAGTGATGTACCGAAAATATAGTATTAGAATAGGTGCTGAAAGTAGTTGACACTGAGAAAAAGTTTACCTACCTACTGTCGTTTTCTTAAATATTACCAGCATAGTTAAATGTCTTTAAAACTTGAATTAATCAATTAATCAATGAAAGCATTATATGATTTTTTTTTCAGTCCATTACGAATAATTAAATTGGTCGATTATTACATTCTATCGCAAACTTTAACTTCTTCATATTTGCGTACATGTATAAAAATCAAGTATTGCATAAGTCATTGACCATTGCATTTATTGATTACGCGTATCAATCCAAGCCATTCTTATATTGTTGCAACTTACAAAATATACTGCTGAAAAAATAGAGACCCCTCTCCAGGCATATATTCAAGAGAAATGGCGAAGAAGGAAGGCCGGGGGGGGGGGGAGTTCAAATTTTATCGATTGAAGTTCAATTTAGTTATGTTTTAATTAATTTTGTATGTTCAGTATAATTAATACCGAACGGCAGAATGTAAAGTGTACATCTATCTACACATGCACTTCCTGCAAATATTGGAAATATATTGGCCGTTCTCGAAAAAAAAATCTATCCTCGACCAGCAAAAAAATAATATGTCCTTCGCTGGTACTTCTAACCCCCCCCCCCCCCCGATTTTTTTTCTTTTTGTTTTTATTCATATAATTATCATTTTTCTATTCATTGTTAAGTTATTCATTTTATATTTATTTGTTTTACTCTATGATCTCTCTTTTCTCTCTCTCTATCTCTCTCTCTCTGAATTCATTCTAAATATATAACAATTGATAATCTACTCCTCATACACTTTTTTTTCAATGTTTACATCAATTCCATGTACTTGTAATTGTACCTTGACCTATTGAGAAAATTCAATTCAATTCAATTCTTTATTCGCTCAAAACCAGATCACTGGTACAAGAGGTACATATATATATATATATATATATATATATATATATATATATATATATATATATATATATATATATATATATATATATATATATATATATATATATATATATATATATATACAAACAAAAATTACGGTCATGGGTCAAGAAATAGACAAATATATAAAGAAAAGAGTGAGAAAAACATGTAGTCACCTATCTATAAAACACACGGAGGATTCAAGAAGGACAGACAGTTTTAAAAATTTTCTTTATAAATTTTGATAATGTTTTTTGTATTGTTACATTATTACTACTCATTAGTCCATTGAATTTGAAAGTGTTAGGATTATTACAATATCTGTTTCGGAGAAATATTTTTCTGTCTTTCGAAAAGTAATTGCATTCCATAACTTAATGATATTCATCACCAACAGTTTTAAAATCACAAATGGTACATATCATAGGAGGATCATAGGCATCTAAGTCTGCTGTTCAATCCAATTCAATGAATAAAATATATTTTGAACTAACCCTACCCGAAATAGAGTTTACCTTTTTTCCTTTGGCTTGTCAAACTTTTTTCGGCTGAAAAAAAGAAGTTATCCGTCCCTGACTTACATGATGATATGAAAGAAATAATCTGACACAGAAAATTCACCAGCCCCTCTCCTGGGGGTCCCTTTACCAACTCAGTGTATATACATTCATTATCCCAAGGCAGCTACTGTAACAAGGAACAATCGTCTCCTCTCCAGCTCCATTTTTTCCCTTTCGCTTGCGTTAATACAATATAAATTGTGACATATACATATACACAAATGGCAAATGCTATAAAAATAAAATTATCACCTTCAATTTATCATGGACTCTAAAAAATGTATAATAATGCTCTTTTTCAACTGTTTAATACGATTTGTGCTGCCTGTCCCCCTTTTTAAACCGTTTAACGTCGGCGATGTATATTGCAGCTGACCGACTTTAGCGTGGAAGAGAAGCGATCTCGGCTACTTCCTTTGATGTGGCGAGAATGTGACGTAGTATTTAAACCTCTCGACAAGCAAAGCGTTAGCACGTCAGAAACAGCGCAATCCGTTAGCCTTTTTGCAATTAGCTCTATTTACAATAACAACGCTTCGAACGGAATCGCGTGCCCGATTTTCATATTACGTCTCGACGGAGACGTAATATGGAAACGGAGACGTAATACGGAAAATGTCAGGGCGTCATGTGATTAGCTTTTATCCAATCAGTTATCAGTAATCGAAAAATTTGTCTGAAGCGGGATAAATTTTGTTTCTCTCTTTGTTTTACGTCCCTTTCGAGAAATATTGAATTACTTTATATTAATGGGTGGGGGCTGGGAATTTTAGAACTGTACTTGGCACTCTGTGTCATTGAGCACTGGGTGATTTTTTATTTGATAGTACTTACCGCGACATGAGACTTTGGTCTAGTCAAAGTAACTGTCTCCAAGTTTCGCAATGGATTTGAACCCGCGACATAAGGATCTACTCCATACTAGCTAGAGCAAATGCTCTAACCACTTCGAGAAACGGGCGATTTAATAATATTTTTTCTCTGAAGATCAATATAATTACATTTTGAGATTTACCGGGTATCAATTTTAATGAAGTAAGACATTGTCTATGCTTAGAATCATTTTTTTCAAGACGGTAGCTCAGTCGATAGAGCGCTCGCTCCGTGATAGAGTCGTGAATTCGAATCTCGACCGCTACTGAACTTAGTTGATTAAAAGTTTCTTGCCTAGAGCTCGACACTTTGGAGTGAAAGTTGCGTGTTCTTCGGATAAGACCTTAAAAACCAAGACCCTGTGTCACAGTAGACGATTAATTACCCTCACTGCTCAATGGTCCTGAGTGCCGAGTAAAGGTCTTTTGAATTCCTTCAACGGTATATGATGACATCTTTATACAAGAGTGAAAAATTCTCCAATGGGCGAAAATCCATTAAACAATACAAATTTTAGCAGAGCAAACATGGACCTCTTAAACATCAGGGGCGAGATCAAGTGCCATAGAGGAGTGAGTATCCCCTGCTGACCAGTCACACCACCATGTGCTCCTTGAAATGATCGGGAAATAATGGAAAAATCCGTTGACAATTCCGTGTGTAAATAATGGCCTAACAATTAGTATGAAAAACGTCAGTCAGAATTTGGTTTTCTAATTTTTAAAGATTGTATTTGCTGACAATGTCATTGTATCGACCATATAATTGACGAAATGATGACTTTAAACGAGGCTTTTGATATTCTTGTTTCATCAATTTGATTGTCAATAAACTACATCGTTTTAGATTTTTTTTTCATAGCTTAAGACTTTTGAGAAAATTTACCCGATTCAAAAATAGGAATGCCCTATCAGATAGAAATATTATCGAATATTTATATCGTACTAAAAAAAATTTTTCATTATTCTTTTGAAAAAGTAGTTCAAAGGATATACAAGCAGGGGATAAGATTTAGTGATTATCAACTATTGTAACTGATATATATCTGGCGACATTGACCTTTTGTTTGATTAAATTAGCGCTCAAAATTTATTATTTACATTTTTAAAAACAAATTAAAGTTCCCAGACTGCAAAATGAAGTACACAGATATTTCGATAAGATCTATACACCTTTCACAGCACAATGTATATAATCTTGTTAAATTTCAATTATATATGCGTTATGCTTTCAATTAAATTGCATTTAATCAATGATTTTTAAAAAATACCAAGGTTAAATGATAAGTTTAAAACAAAATACTAGTATTTTTTTGATGAATTATCTTTTTTTTTTATCTCCATAGCAACAAACGAAGCCTACATCTACATGTATCCCCTCCATCATTTAAAGTCATTTTTTTTCCGTAGACAACGAGAAGAAAATTGGATAAGGAATCACGAGGACTCTCATGCCAATTCAATAGTCTTCGCCCACTGACGTCAAACACAAAGGCAGCTGCACGAGATTTACATGCATATTTGGCCTCATCAGCTCAGACACAGGGGCAGATGCGCACGAGATTTGCATGCATATTAGGCTTCCTTAGCTGCTGACCTTTCGACTTGCCTAATTTACATTCCGGTAGAATTATCGAGAAATCAACTTCGCTAACTTTCAAAGAGTTATCACAGAGAGAAAAAAAATTAGAAATGGAAATATATTAAAATTAGGGGAAAGTGCAAGAGAAGTAGCTTTAGGGCAGTGGTAACAAAACTAAATTAAGCTCTTCTGTCGGTTTAACTACCGGTATATAGGCAACTGTTAAGTCTCAGTCTCTCTTCTCTCATTTTTGATTAACTACTATTACTAATGTTTATTTTATCAGGATTATGTTGATTACATTGTTTGTAAAGGTAATTAAGTTATATTTTGGAAAGGGGAGACGATGTTACTTTGTTTGAAAAGCAAGAAAAATCGGAGGGAAAAACACAAATAACAGATAAGGTTTTGCATTTACTATGTTTACGACCTCTATATATATAATTCATGCCATCATGTTCGTTGTGTTGTCATAATTGTTGATTTTTTCTTTATTTTGACGGTAAGCGGTATTGTTTTTCGGTTCATATGGTAAACCCTTATATTCTTTGAATCACGGTCTTTAATAGGAGGACAAAATCGTTATTTAAGGAATTTAAAGATCTAGAGTTAATCTTGTAGTACAAAATATCTTTCTCTCCTCAATTTATCTAAATTCTGAACTTTTTTTCTCGCAGAGGCTTCTATTCATTTCTTTAATCATTTATTCGTGACTTTAAAAAAAAAATAAGAATTTTGATTTTTAAAAATTTCATGCTAGTTTTATACATAAACACAGGGCTATGTATTCGTATATACATGTAGAGTTAGAAGAAAGAGTAAATCAATACACTGTACATGTTTTTACTTCAAAGGTCGAATGTTTTTATACCTCATAATATTTCTAATGTAACATGCAGTTCAAATAAATATATGCCAACAGAAAGAGATGAACATAAGATAAAATGTGCTTACCTCGTTGCGGTCTAATTATATTATGACTGAGGGTCTTTGGTGTGGAATTTTAAATACTCAATGCTTTTACACGCCTTAAGATTTTGATTTTTTGATTTAAAAAGAGTCAAAATTGTTCAGCGTTTGTATTGCATTTTAAAGACAAAAGTAGATATACACTATAAAAATAACTACATATATGTATTACTATCATGTATTTACTTAAAACGCATTACTAGTTCTAGTAATTAGGCGGTACCTAACATATAGATGCTTTAAAATGACTATACACCAAAAAGATTAGGACCACCAATGGACAGCTATTATGTTAAAACTGTTGATGAAAATATGCAGACTCTGTAGTGTTTCCTTTATATATGACAAGTTTTTGGGGTCACACATGGTTAGAAGGTTTGTTCTAAATTAAGTCGCAGAGCAAGGAGTTGATCCTTACATCGGAGGTTCGAAACTTCGAATCCAATGTGTCACGCGGAAACTGGTCCTTCAAAGAAGACCGTAAAAAACCGAGGTCCTGACTGTCGCAGTATGTGTTGGCATAAAAATTAAGATTCTTCATTGTCCAAAGGCCGTAAGTTCCGTGCACCAGTTAGTGATGGCTTCTCAATATGAGTGAAAATTTCTGGAACGTCAAACAAACAAGTCAGAACAAGTATTCATCTTCCGTATATGAAAATTTTAGGGAGTTTTTTGGTGGATATTTTCATCACAAAATTCAAGACGATTCTAAAAGGAAGCCGCTAAGAACGAATTAATGGAAATCAAGGTGGATATTTTCATCACAAAATTCAAGACGATTCTAAAAGGAAGCCGCTAAGAACGAATTAATGGAAATCAATCTCAAACTTCTTTAAAAAACAATAAATACAGATCTGTGAACAGGATAAACCCCCTCCCCCACGCCACCCCCCAAGAATGAAGTGCCTATAGAAGAAAAACTCAAAGCGTCCCTATCGATTGTTCGCGCGGCCTCTTGAGTTCTATGTATAATCAAAGTAGATGGAATATTCCGTAGTCAAATCTAGCATAAAAACAATTTGCAAAGAAAATCATTATATCGATGATAGAATTTTCGAAATGTCGACTTTGAATCCCCTGTAGCACCAACTCATTTGTGAGTAGCCGGCTTTTGTTTATCTTTGGAGTATATGCTGTTCTGGTCCAAGGTATAGAATCAGGGACGAAGAGTGAAATCAAAAAGAGACAATTTTTAGGATCGATTGTATATAGATTAATGAACTTTAAGGAAATTACTTCTCGTACGCGTTCTTTTTGTTGTACGACATTGTCATAGGCGTCGGAACCGGGGGTGGGTGGGGAAGGCTTACACGCCCCATCCCCCCCCCCCCCCCCCCCCACACACACACACACATTTAACAGGCACGTTACAGTTTAGGTCAGAAAGGGGTAAGTGGAGGTGTACGGGAAAAAATTTGGCATTGAAAGAAGTTTGATCCTCTGATCCTCGATCCTACCCCCTCCCCTCCCCACGAAATAGGATCGATTTTCGTCTTGAGACACATTTCTTTTTTGCTTGTCAAGTTATTTTGGTGGGTTTGATTTTTTTCTTTTCACTTTGCTTCTGACGACAATGATTTTTGTGTTTATGGGGGGTTTTTAAATTTGTTTTTCTTTTAATTCTTTTTTAACACTCCTTGTAAAATATCTGCTATCAGTTTTCTTCCAATTTTATCTAAATAATAAAAGTGTAGATTTGGTTTATCTAATATTATATAAGCTCTGTTATAGGTCCCTATATGTATATGTGGATATGAAATTTGACTTTGCACTATGCAATGCACACGAAAGGTTTAACAACACGGCTATTTTTCTACATGTGCTGTAATATCTATATATACATGTATATATGCACTTTGGGTCTGTCTCTGAATCTCAGAGGGGCTAAAGCATGCAAAGTAAAGTCTCATGTGTAACTCTTTAACGATCAGTGTATATCACAGGCGCTTGACGTTTTGAACCTTTCTCTTGAAGAATAAAAATTTTCCTATACTAGTATTGGGAATTTTTCTATGTATAAAGAGAAAGGTTTGTTACAACGCACTTTGAAAAATTACGCACTTTGAAAACATTTTTCAAAGTGCGTTAAAATTTGGGACCAAGCTAACGCACTTTGAAAAAAATAATTTTTTTCAAAGTGCGTTAATATCGACCATATTAACGCACTTTGAAAAAAAAGTAAAGATTGATCAATATTCCTTCAGATAATCGGTATGATAAAAAACAGATTCTGGTTTGATAATTTTTTCATGATAAAATCACAGTTGGACCTGAGATATTGACGTTTTAAATATTCAAGGTTTTGATAAAATAAAAGGGAAAATTAAAGGGTCTTAAAAAAAAGAGTGACGATTGTTTAAGTTCATTAATTCGTTTCTTCTTTTTTTTAATTCTAGTCTTTGATAAGTAGATGTAAAGGTGTATAGGGGGCACTAACAGAGGACAGCTTCAAGCAACTTGGCATCTATCATAATAAAAAGGGGCCAATTTGATTGTTCAAAACTATGAAAATTCTTTCTCTCTCATACGTTTTACTGTACTTAAAAATTTATTGTTTTCATCTGTTTTAACTAACTCATTTATTATTGAAAGTTTTCAACGTCATACCAGTTAGGTAAATACATAATTATATGAATGCTTTGAGTATAGCATATACATCGAGACTGGGCGAAGGGCCAGGGGAGTTTTTTTTTGTAAATAAAACCCCCCAAAAAACTTATTTTGGAAAGATATATACATCGTATAAGCATTGAAAATGCAGCGTACCCTTTTTAGGTTTATTGCTCCCCTCCCCCGTTTGTTACTGACACAGAAGTCTATGTACTGGAAAGATAAAGATTTAAACTGTGTGTTTACCCGTCTTCTCCTCTTTTCGACAGGAGTAAATCAATTCATTTTTGTGGTTAGGGTTAGGCTTAGTTTTTTGAAAGATAAATAAGTAAAATAACAAATAAAATCTTTCCATGACTAAAATATGATTTTTTTTTCAAAGTGCGTTAAGTGTCTCCATGGTAAAATATATTGATGTAGAAATTTTTTCAAAGTGCGTTGAGTTGGTCCCAAATTTAACGCACTTTGAAAATTTTTTTCAAAGTGCGTTGATATTGTCCCAATTTTAACGCACTTTAAAATTTTTTTTCAAAGTGCGTTGCCACAAAGGTTCAAACGTCAAGCGCCTGTGGTCAGAGACATAATATTTATTTTATTTTATTTATTTATGGTGTATTTACCTTGACAATCTGCAAAATTATGCATGTGTAGCATATCTTTTTAACATATATAATTTATTAAGGGGTCAAAAAGGGCCAAGATACTAAATTTTGACGATTTATATCTCAAAATGGGGAAATATACTTTTATTGGTAAATCATTTATAATTCCAATTTTATCCGAATTATTGAAAATTTGCAACAACCGCAATGGCCTAAGTTCAGGTCTCTTGTGTGTTTGACATATGGACATCAAGCTTACAACAATGTAAAGCATGCAATGGATGTAGATTTACATTGTTCCAGCGGGAACAGCGGATTGTAGCCCCATTCACTGGCTCATCGCAGTCATTCTTGACTACTCTTCAACATGTTCAATAATGTCACCTACTATTTAGTAGGTGACATTGATTCGAAGGTATGCAAACCAGTGTTGCATGGGTTGTTTGAGAAATATGCATTATCTAATTGAAAGAAAAGACCGAGTCTCATCGCTAATTTCTAAATTAGCGCAATCTCTTTATAAGCTATTTAGCTCGAAATATCTAGACTTATATATCTTTACTAAGCTATTCAAAATATCTTGATAAAGCTACTTATATGCAGTTTTGCGCAAAAATGTTTTTTTTTTTTTTTTTGTAAATAAAACAAAAACAAAAAACATAAACCGTTTACAAAATTTTTAACTCACAGTTTGGATATTTAAACTACCATTTTGCATGTTGTATATAGCGGCCTGCCTAATTGAAGACCTACGGGTAATTGAAGACCTACAGAAGACCTACGGAAGACCTACAAAAATGTGGGATATATACAGCAAAACTGATGTGATATTCTGATTAAGCATGTCTTAAATATATGAAATATACAAAAAAATTTATAAAAAGAAGTTTTAAAGTGTAATTTTCAAGCTCGGTAAGGGGAACTATTTCTTCTCCTTGACGAACTACGGCAAGAACGATAACTCTGGCTGACTTGTAAACAACAACACGCTCGTTTTATGTGAAGTTTATGGGAAGAATATGGATATGCAAAAATAAAAAGAATTCAAATGATTTTGTTGCGTTTTTCAATTATGAATAATGATAAAATTATTATCTGCATTATGAATTTTGATGAGGTTAAAAATATGAATAATTATCATGATTATTTCATTTATCAAATTAATATTATACTTGAAATATATAGCTAATATTAAATTAATATTGTAATTCTTTTAATTTATCTTATGGGATAAATATTAAAAATTCAAGTTTAAACTATTACTATATGTATGCTGTGAATTTGTCTCAATTAGCCAATATCACCCTGAACTAAGGGCTTCAATATTTACTAATGTGTTGTATACACAGGCACCCTGAGGATATATCAGTGTTTTGATTGCAATTATCAACACACCCCACTTGCTCAGATGAATGTTAATTTGCAGTCTACAGAACAAACAAATTAAAAAATTAATTAAATTTATTAAATATCTTTAAAATGCTTGCAAGAAATTTGCTTTAAATTATATAACCGAAACAAATAAAATAAATGTGCATTTGTTCAGAATATATTAACTGAAATGAGTTACATTTTGAATATTTTTTTTTCTCTTTCACTTTTTCCTTCAGCAAACTAACACATTTATATGACATTCGCAAGGAAAAATTAATAAATTAAATGTCTATTCAAATAACATGCTGTATGCCAAGAAATACATACTATATGAAAGATGAAGATTTTTTTTAAATCCTCGAACCAAAATCGAAAAAAATTCACATTTTACTTCCACTGGTAAATTTCTTCTTAAAATTTAAAATTTGTAATGTGAAAAATAAATAACTGAAAGATAAATATAATGAGAACTTAAAATAATGAAATACATGCATATTTTTGATAAAAACCATTTTTCTTTTACTTGTAAAAATGAAACGTATTTGAAAGTGATTATATCTCTCTTCTTTTTTAAAAATTACTTCAATTTTTTTTTTTACTGAAATTTAAAATTTTTCATTCACTAAATAAATGCAAATCTTATAATCTTTACTAGGTATTATTAGAAACATTTCCAGGTATCATTAATAACAAGAACACATTAAATCATTCTATCTCTGTCAATGAATTTTTATTGATGATCAACAGTTCAAACCTGAAATAAATTTTACACTGAAATATTTACAAACACATATTATCCATAAAATACTGAATATAACTTGTATACATGTACATGTACGTATAATATTTCTATATTTGATCAGATGATGGTATTATAAATTATGTACAATGTATGTGTCTCTGCTTTGTCAAGTTAAAAAAAAATATTTGAAATAATTTTTTTTGAACAAAATGGAATTATATCTGATTAAATATTTCCTTTTTTTTTCATCTTTGATGTATTAATCTTAATTATCTACAAGGATTTTTTTCCTTCATTAAATGTCATTTCATTTTGGTTTATTACATTTTTCTGATATGTTTTATTTGTTATTAACGCGAGTTATTGTTCTTGCTGTAGGTCGCCTGAGAGAAGAAATAGTTCCCCTTGCCGAGCTTGAAAAATGCACTTTAAAACTTCATTTTATAAAACTTTTTTGTGTATTTTGTATATTTAGGACATGCTTAATCAGAATATCACATCAGTTTTGCTGTATATATCCCACATTTTTGTAGGTCTTCCGTAGGTCTTCTCTAGGTCTTCAATTACCTGTAGGTCTTCAATTAGGTATTCCCGTATATAGTGAATTTTGAAGCCTGGTTTCCCTCTCATCAGCTCACAAGTTCAACTTGAAAAAAAATATAAAATAGAATTTAATAGATTTATATTCTCTTACTTTGCAGACTTAAATTAAAATTTAAGGATTAAGATCCCGAACTTCTCACATTTTTCTGACAATTCGGAAATAAGTGATGAAAAAATATGATGGCACATACAAAGTCATGTCTTTCAAAGGGATGGAATGTACTTTACCAGTCAAAGGACACAATTAATAATTAAAATATTTCTAAAGATGGCCTGGGTGACCGTCTTTCCCTTTAATATCTCCCCTTTGAAGAGGGTGTGCCATCCTGATCCCACCTCTGATGTTTTGGAGGTCCGTGTTTGCTTAGCTGCAATAATGTAGCCCTCTCCAATTTTTTTCATCTGATGTTTTCTGGAGAGGGCTACCTCTCTTTCAACCCCCACCCCCCACAAAAAAAGGGAGAGGGCTACATTTTTGCAGCTAGTGATTGCTCTTATTTTGTATTGTTTTATGGACTTTTGAACTTTAATACTAATTGTTATCTCCATACATTTTATCCAGTCCAAAGATAGGCATTTCAATTCATTCAATACAATTGTACCATTTTTTGTCGAAAATTACATGTCCTATTGCCACTTCTTTAATTATGTACTTATTGTTGCAGGTTATAGATTTGCTGAATGATGGAGGTGCTAAGAAAGACAGCTATTTGAGTGAGATGGTCAGTCATGTTATTGCAGACTACTGTACACAAAATGAGTATTCCGAGGCCAAAGAATTATTTGAACTTCCTGTGGTTACGGTAAGTTAATTTTTGTGAACAGCAATGAGGGCAAATTAGTGAAAGTGAATAATTATTGTATTTTCATTTTTATGGATACCTATTTTTAGCTCACCTGAGCCGAAGGCTCAAGTGAGCTTTTCTGATCACATTTTGTCCGTCGTCCATCCGTCACTCCGTCCGTCTGTAAACTTTTCACATTTTCAACTTCTTCTCAAGAACCACTAGGCCAATTTTGACCAAACTTGGTACAAAGCATTCTTGGGTGAAGGGGAATTTAAATTGTTAAAATTAAGGGCCAAGTCCCCTCACAAGGGGAGATAATCAAGAAAAGACAAAAATAGGGTGGGGTCATTAAAAAATCTTCTTCTCAAGAACCACTGGGCCAGAAAAGTTGAAACTTATGTGGAAGCATCCTGGGGTAGTGTAGATTCTAAATTGTTCAAATCATGACCCCCGGGGGAAGGGCCGGGCCACAATTGGGAATCAAAGTTATACATAGAAAAATATAGGAAAAATCTTTGAAAATCTTCTTCTCAAGAACCACTGGGCCAGAAAAGCTGAAACTTACGTGGAAGCATCCTGGGGTAGTGTAGGTTCTAAATTGTTCAAATCATGACCCCCGGGGGAAGGACGGGGCCACAATGGAGAATCAAAGTTTTACATAGAAATATATAGGAAAAATCTTCGAAAGTCTTCTTCTCAAGAACCACTGGGCTAGAAAAGCTGAAACTTATGTGCACATGGAAGGATCCTGGGGTAGTGTAGATTTCAAAATGTCTAAATTATGATCAGTGGGTTAGGGTGGGGATGCATCATGTATTACAAGGGGGACATCTGGTAAAGAACAAAATGGTCAAAGCTTCTCAGGTGAGCGACGTGGCCCATGGGCCTCTTGTTGATATTGTAAGGGTGAGTTGAAGCCATAAATTTACTTGGATAATAAAATAATGAATCTTTTTTTTTGTTTACAGAGTGACTGGGTCAGGATGTCGGTTCTGTGTAACAAGCAGCTGGAGTATCCTTATTTGCTGCAACAATTATTTTACAATGATAAATTATTTTACAATGTTAAGTTGTAATTAATTTTTCAAATCTGTATTTCTGAACTAGTATAGAGTTTAATATAGGGATCAATTTTCTCAAACACAGTGACTTGTTCTTTGTAAAAAGTGGCAACAATTTACATTAAATGTAAACAATGAGGCATGAATTGACTAAGATGTGCTAAGTGAAGACTGTAAAATTAGTTACTTTAAATGGACATTAAATGTTCTTAACGATGCTTAAAAACATCATCAAAGGAAGACCTGAAACTGAGAAAATATGACAGATAACTGGATAAATGCAAAAAGAAAACAGTTTGATCTAAAGCCTTGTGTTCATTGTCAGTCCTTGACCCACTTAAGGTTAGAGCTGTTTAGTCCAGAGGATAAGATCTTCAGTGGAGTGGTGGCCTGCTGTTCTCAGGTGTGTATCTCCTTAAAAAAGGTGTGCAGCTCATGAAATTTTGCTTTATGTTGTGTAATCTACATTTGCATGTTAAATATTGTGTACAATGAGGTCATTGATGTGTGTTAATTGATCTTTGTCAAGTTGACTATTGAGGATACAAATGCATTGTGGGCCATGTTAACGGCTAATGGAGGGAAGTGTCAGGGTACCCTGGATAAACATTGCACACATTTAATTACTGGAGAAAAGCAGGGGGTAAAGTTTTCTAATTATGCCTCCAGATATTTTTTAAATGATTTGTAAATAAATTAAACATACATGTTCTTCAAAGAATTTCTTTCCATGTTCTAAAACATATTTCAGTCTTTGAAATATTTTGTATCAATTGGTGTATTGTTTTTAAAGGCTAAGTATGAAGAAGCACTGAAGCATGAAGGAACCATTAAGATCGTTTGTGCGGACTGGGTTACAGACTCGTTATCGAAGAAGGAGTGCCAAGATGAAGAGCTTTATCATCCAAGTCTCCTGAAATCACCAACAGAAATCTCAACCCCTCCCTTCACTCCCCCACCCCCCACCAGTTCCACCCCTCCAGAACCAACTCCTATGGACATAGAACAACAGGAAGAACAAGCCAAACAGCAAGCTAAACTAAAACTGAAGGCCCAGGCATTGCAACAACATGGAAGAATCCATCAAAAGCAGGAAGTGGGCGTCGGCCGATCGCCAGCCAATCAGGTGATTGCTCAGCAGCTTGCTGCAGCTGTTTTAGAGAAGAGACTAGCTGCTGAAGACGGAAGTCACAAGGCCCGAATGTCTACATCCCCGGTCACTGCTAATGCTAAACAAGCACTGGCCCAAATGGTCAGCAGTCGTATACAGGTTTGCTGGGTAGCAATGTCTGCATGCAGCATGCCTGTTCTTCATGGTCCATTGTTTATTTCTGCCTCAATTTTCTACCTTGAAAAATATTACTCAAAATTCAGAACAGGAATATTTAATGATTGTAAATTTTAAAAGGCACACACATATCTTGTGTATAGTTCTCTTAGTATTTACTGAAAAAGATGGATGGAAGCACAAGTTATTGAAAGAAAGGAAATCTTAATGTTATTGATCCCCTGTTAAGGTAGTAGGAGAAGATTTAATGTTCCTACAATTAAGCACATTCTGACAAATTTCTCACAAATCTCTCATGAAATTATTTGGCAATTTGAATAGGGAAGCAAAAATTTTGAATCTCATTTAAGATAAATTGTTCAAGCAACATAGACTTAAGATTTAATGTTCCTACAATTAAACACATTCTGACAAATTTCTCACAAATCTCTCATGAATTTATTTGGCAATTCGAATAGGGAAGCAAAAATTATGAATCTCATTTAAGATAAATTGTTCACGCAACATAGACAAGTCTTTTGATCAAAATTTGTCTTTTTGTGTCTGTATACATGTCATGATCGAACAGTGAAGAGAAATTTTTGACTTCATATAGGGAAATTTTAAGTAAAACTCTTTCAAAGCATATTTGGTTAAATGGATTCAGTCATAAATGAAAAGCCATATTCTTTTGGGGACAGGGGAGGGGGGGTGAATACATGTACATATGTGGAAATTAAGAAAGATTAGAAAAAAGCAATGCTCCATAAAAAAAATCAAAGTTCAGCAAGAATAAACAGCAAGAGGCTTTAGTGAATTTCTTTTTCAGAGGAGTAAATTAAAATTAGTTTGTTCATGTAGATTAGATTCACCTTTAACTATAATTTGTTAGTCCCAGTCCAGACAGTAGAAATTTGATATTCAGGTTAGCATTGTGGCCCATAGAACCTATTGATTGGTTCAAATTAATTTGAGGCATAAAGATCAGTGACCATATATATATATCTAACGGAGTGACCCTGTGTCTGAAACACCCAGCATATTTTACTAATTTAGAAAAGAAAAAGGGTAGAATTGGAATCTTAACAAAAGGTAAACTACAATATCTGATTACTCTTGTAGAGAAACTGAAGATTAAAACTACTCTGCTTAAAAAAGGTTAAGGTTTATATTTGCATAGAAAAATGTAGAATCTAGTAGTAAGCAAGATACATGTTTTATATGATAAATTGTTAATGTTCTCGATGTTACTGTAAAATCACTAATTTTTTGGGACCAAAAAATAAGCAGAAAAAAAATTAGTTTTGGGCGATTTAATCTTGTGGATAAAAGAATGTTGAGTTGTTATGAATTTAACATATTGTGGGGGACATGATTTTGTGGGTCTTTCCATTTCACTAGAACAATGAAAATTTACCCCCCCCCCCACCCCAAAAAAAATAAATTGGTGATTTCATAGTATTCGGTTTCTTTGAGAGTACATGTATTTTTAGATTCTCATTTATTGAGAAGGGAACCTCCAAATTGTTGATGTTTTGATACAATCTGTTTAGTTATTAAATGGTTCATTATGAAATACATGTATTAAGTACAACATGTATGTGCACAAGGAGAGGGATATACATACATGTATTTGATTTGTTTAAAAAATCCCTTTTTTAGTAAGTTTTGAAATCTAATCTCCCTGTTTAAAGTCTTTTCTTGTGACTTTCCACTGAAACTTCAAAAGAATGACACTGACCTTATAATTATAACGACTTTAAGCAAGTTGTAAATGAAAAAAATTAATTGGCATATATATAGTTTTTGGCTTGTCTGTCAGCCCACCAAATCTTAAGTCATGCCCACAACGTTTGAATGGGTGGTGCTAGAGCTTTCATATTTCACAGGTGTATTCCTTTTGACAAGACTTTTCAGTGGGTATAAACATTTTTGACTTTGTGACATTGACCTTGGAGTTTGACTCTCTTTTGAAAAACCTTGAACTTGGTCATAACTTCTGAATAATTTGTTTAAAGGGCTTTCATTACATGTGTCACTTGTATTTCTTTTGACATCACCTTTCCTAGGGTATCAACATTTATCTACCTCATGGCCTTGAAGTTTTATTTACATTTTAAAACTTTAAACCTTGCTCAATAGCTGCCATATGGGAGCATCAGTGTTTTGCCAACACATGTTTTTATTTTAAAATGTTACAAATCTGTAATATAATTTTTTTTACTAATCCAGAATGTGATTTCCTCTTCAGACAGTAACCTTCTCAATTTGGTTGATGATATGTAACAATTATGATAAAATATACACATATATAAATAATACTCTATTTTTGCAGTGTTTGAAAGAAACTAACTGGTAATGGTATTGAGGCATGAAAAAGAGAACCATTATCTTGCAAGAACTAAACTGAATTAGAGAGTTTTACTATGTACTTTGTAGGGAACTAGACCTAGACAGAAGTCCCCAGGCAGGATGACCCAGCCCCATGCCGCCCGATCCCCAGGGGCCATGCCCCCCATCCCCCAGGTCCCTTACATGCAGATGCCACCACTGGGACTGCCGTCTTTTCTACCACCTGAAATGCAGCGCATGGGTATGCCCAGGCCACTCAGGAACATTACCAATAGAGCTGAACTACCCCCACACTTGCCAGGAATGATACCAAGTCCAAACAAGGTGGGAATGTTTCCCTGTTAACATGGCACATTTGGCAATTAAAATTAAAAAAAATGGAGGTTATAATTAAACAAAGTTTTAGTTAAGCTAATTTGACAAATAGATGTTGCACAAAATAAAAATGTGTGTTACATGTATGAAATATTTTAATCAAGAATATTCATTTTCATATGCTGATGTAATGTCATAATTTATTTGAAAAATCTTTGTAGCATGTGTATTAACATAATTAATTAAAATGGAAATATTGTTTTTCATTAGATGAACCAGAGGATGCCTTTCAATCCCGCCTTGCCCCCTGGACCGAGGCCTCCCCCACCGCGTTATGTTCCCACGACCATGAATCAGCAGAGTCAGCCCCGCCCCCCAATGTCAATGCCAGCTACTTACTGGGGTCATGACCCTTCAGATAACTGTAATTCATTATTCACATATCTTATTTAAGGAAGGCCCATACTTTTACAGATGCGGTTCTAATTTTACACATCAATATAAAATTCTAATTTTCACTTGTCTATTGATATAACAATTTTTTGAGTGATTGAAAATGATTTAGCAAGTATATATTTGTTTACTCTAGTGTTATTGTGCATACAAAGCATTTAATACACATTATTTATGGAAATTAACAGTTTGCACTCTGTCCATAAGATCTATATGTCATTTAGTACATACACAGACAAAAAATTCTTAATTGCTTTTATGGACCTAAATCTCTTTAATTTTCTTTTAAGCAAACTAACCTGAGATCTATTTTTATTGTTTTAGAGACTATACCATCCATTTAATTTTTACTTTTTAAAAATTTTGCAATGAATAATTGAAAAAATTGATATTCCAAAAATGGGGGTATACGTCTTCAAAAGACCGTTTTGTTAAAATTCTCTGGTCAACCATAATAAAGTATGTGTTTTTGTTAACATTAGATATAATTCTTACTGATTTTAAAGAAAAAATGGCATCTAAACAGTTTGGATTTTGAGAATTATAAAAAATAAAGATATTTTGAGATTTTTTTCTGAAAGACATGGACAGATTCAACATCAATTTGTTAATGTTTTGCAGTAAAAATTTCAAATATTCTCTTGTCAAATGAATATTTTTGATCTTCATAAGTTTTAACATAAATTTGATGTGATTTGGTGCATAACTAAGAGAAATATGATATCACACTTTATGATGTTCAATTTTGGCTGTTGAGTTTTTAGAGGTATGTGCTCTGAGACATGTTGTATGAAAATTAACCTAAAGATATGTCTTTTACTAGAGACTTATACAAACAAATTGAAAAAAAGTATACAGAAAATTCTGAAAGTACTTCTTAAGGAAGGCCCATACTTTTACAGATGCGGTCAATTTTACACATCAATATAAAATTCTAATTTTCACTTTTTTGATATAACAATTTTTTGAGTGATTGAAAAATTTAGCAAGTATATATTTGTTTACTCAGTGTTATTGTGCATACAAAGCATTTAATACACATTATATGGAAATTAACAGTTTGCACTTATCCATAAAATATGTCATTTAGTACATACACAGACAAAAAATTCTTAATTGCTTTTATGGACCTAAATCTTTTTAATTTTCTTTTTAGCAAACTAACCTGAGATCTGTTTTTATTGATTTTAAGCCTACATCATCCATTTAATTTTTACTTTTTAAAAATTTTGCAATGAATAATTGAAAAAATTGATATTCCAATAATTTGTCCAAAAGGGTTTTGTTAAAATTCACTGGTCAACCATAATAAAATGTGTTTTTGTTAACATTAGATAAATCTTACTGATTTTAAAGAAAAAAGAAATTAAACAGTTTATTTTGAGAATTATAAAAAATAAAGATATTTTGAGATTTTTAGCATCTCTGATCTGATCACATCTTGGAGCTGTCTGTAAACTTTTCACATTTTAGACTTCTTCTCAAGAACCACTGGGCCAATTTTGATCAAACTTGGTACAAAGCATTCTTAAAGGAAATTTAAATTGTTAAAATGAAGGGACATATCCCCTCGCAATAGATAATCAAGAAAAGACAAAAATTGTGTTCATTAAAAAATCTTCTTCTCAAGAACCACTGGGCCAGTAAAGCTGAAACTTATGTGGAAGCATCCTGGGGTAGTGTAGATTCTAAATTGTTCAAATCATGACCCCCGGGGGAAGGGCGGGGCCACAATGGGGAATCAAAGTTTTATATAGAAATATATATAGGAAAAATCTTTGTAGAACCACTAGGCCAGAAAACTGAAACTTATGTGGAAGCATCCTGGTATATATAATTAAAACAAATTATACAATGTGTTACATAGAAATATATAAAAAATCATTTCAATTTTTATATATGGGCAACAAATTGAAGTCATGGGGTATCACTTAGAATTTTATAGGCCAAAGAATAAGTTTTATATAGAAATATATAGGAAAAATTTTTGAAAATTTCTTCTCAAGAACCACTTAGACCATGTGGAAGCACTGGTATAGTGTAGCATTGTTTTCACAATGGGGTTTAGTTTTCATAGAAATATATGCAAAAATCTTTGAAAATTTAAAGCTGAAACTTATGTGGAAGCATCCTGGTATAATGTAGATTCTAAATTGTTCAAATAATGCTGGGGCCACAACACATCAAAGTTTTATATAGAAATATATAGGAAAAATGTATTATTTGTTATGATGGAAATCCCTACACTGTAAATTGTTCAAATAATGACCCCCGGGGGAAGGGCGGGGCCACAATGGGATTACAAAGTTTTACATAGAAATATATTGGAAAAATCTTTGGAAATCTTCTTTAGAACCATTGAAATCTGTGGAAGCATCCTGTATAATGTAGGTTCTAAATTGTTCAAATCATGACCCCCGGGGGAAGGGCGGGGCCACAATGGGGAATCAAAGTTTTATATAGAAATATATAGGAAAAATCTTTGAAAATCTTCTTCTCAAGAACCATTGGGCCAGAAAATCATGAAACTTATGTGGAAGCATCCTGGTATAATGTTATTAAAAATTGTTGCATCATGAATAATGGGGAAAAAATTGAATATATAGGAAAAATCTTTGAAAATCTTTTTTTCAAGAAACATTGGGGCAGAAAAAGTGAAGCTTAGAAGCATTCTGGGGTAGTGTAAATTCTAAATTATAGGAATCATGACCCCCAAGGGCGGGGCCATTAAGGGAATCAAAGTTTTACATAGAAATATATAGGAAAAATCTTTGAAAATCTTCATTAGGAACCATAATTCTTGAAACATGGTGTGCCCATGGAAGGAAAAGTGTAGATTTCTAAATGTCTAAAGTATGATCAGTGGGATTGGGGATGCAATGTATAACAAAAAAAGAACAGAATGGATAGCTTCTCAGGTGAGCGATGTGGCCCATGGGCCTCTTTTTTCTGAAAGAAATAGACAGATTCAACATATATTTGTTAGTGTTATGCAGTAAAAATTTCAAATATTATCTTGGCAAATGAATATTTTAGATCTTCATAATGTTTAACATAAATTTGATGTGATTTGGTGCATAACTAAGAGAAATATGATATCACACTTTTTTTATGTTCAATTTTGGCTGTTGAGTTTTTAGAGGTATGTTCTCTGAGACATGTTGTATGAAAATTAACCTGCAAAGATATGTCTTTTACGGGGGTTTTAGTTAGTTTAAGACTTATACAAGGTATTCAAATTGAAAAATTATCAGTTTGACAGAAAATTCTGAAAGTACGGACTTACCTTAAACAATATATTTCCTACATGTCTATTAGTGTAGGGTTCTATAAAAATATTTTTATTATCTGTTTTGTTGGTTTTCAGTACCACCAGAAATGTGTTTGTTGGGCTGTGTATTCTACATCACAGACTACTTAAAGATTGTTGGACAACCACAAATTGATAACTGGAAGAAGGTAAACTTAAGTCTCAGATACCATTTGATACTATGACTGATTATTTAGATGCTGGGACTCCCTCTGACTTGACTGGTTTGTAGCCGTACCTGATTTATTTTTTATCTGACATTATCAGCAGCGGGCTCTAATTCCTTAGGATCTCCATAGGGATGCTCAATTATCTTTCCAGGCATTTACATTTTTCATCATGTTTATCTAAAGTTTATATTGCATGAAAAGTTTTTCTAATGATGAATTACGTGAATGTAAAATCTTATTGAACATTAAGGATTTCAGCTCTTATAATATAAACATTTATTTTGACAGGTGATTGAACAGCATGGAGGCCAGGTAGACCCCGCCTACTCTAATCGTGTTACCCATCTACTGTGTGCCACTCAGCATACCGATGTCTTTCATATCGTACGTAAATATTGACACATGTATCTGAAACAGTATACGTTGTATAGTAGTAACTTGTTAAGAAATAAGGTATCATTTTTTAAGTTTTATTGGGATGTAAAACGGATTGGTCATGTGATCAAATCAAAGATTTGTGTAAGTCAAGATTTATTATAATAACATACAATATTTCCGCAAGAAAATGATATTGCATCAGATTTCTCATTACTTATTATTAATGTTTCCTGTTGCATCATTTACAGGCTCTTAAGGACCAGAGAAGGGTTGTGACAGCCTTCTGGTTAAACGATGTCCTGGTCAAGAAGAAGATGCTGCCCCCATGGCAGGCCCTCCATCTTCCTATCATCTATGGGGAGGATAAACCCTGTAGTAATCAGGTAAAAGTATGGGAAGTACAGGGTAGAGTAAAAATCATCATAAACAGGGAGGATAAAAGCCCTGTAGTAATCAAGTAAAAGTACGGGAAGTACAGGGTAGAGTAAAATTCATCATATGCACGTCAGGGAGAATAAAAGCCCTGTAGTAATCAGGTAAAAGTACGGGAAGTACAAGGTAGAGTGAAAATCATCAAATACAGGGAGGATAAAAACCCTGTAATAATCAGGTAAAAGCACGAGAAGTACAGGGTAGAGTAAAATTCATCATAAACAGGTCAGGGAGGGTAAAAGCCATGTAATAATCAGGTAAAAGTACGTAAAGTACAGGGTAGAGTGAAAATTATCTATGGGGTGTATAAGACATAAGGAATAGTCAATTTCACCACATGTATGGTAGGATGAAATCTGTCATCAGCATCTTGGTAGAATACATGACATTATAATGGTAAGGTTAAAATATCAAATTTCTTTGAATATATTTGTCTGACTGTATAGCGATTGCAAAGCAAAGTGAAAATTACCATTTAGATACATTTTTCAGCAAATACACCATGCTTTTAATTTTAAAGAAAATTTTTTTTAAAGAATATTTTTTGTCAGTCATTAGAAATTCTAAGAATATGTTATTATAATGATCTCTTTAGATTCTGTGTGTAACAAACTTTGATGGGGAGGAGCGTCTTCGGGTCAAACAGATGATCAACGCCATAGGAGCTAAATACACTGGGTATATGACTCATGGCAACTCAGCAGTCATCTGTGGCAGGTAGATAGAAATAAGAAGTTCTCTCTGTAATAATAACAAACATTTCATAGTGGAAGGAACAAAATTAATGAGAGTAAGAAATTGTACACCTGAACTTGCATACTGCCACTTGGAATGTAGTATATTATTTATTGTCTTCTCAGGCCAGATGGAAAGAAATTTGACAAGGCCAATGAATGGAAAATCCCGGTGGTGAATGTACAGTGGTTGAGTGACTTAGTTTTAGGCCACCTAGAGGCTCTGAAATTGCCGGTCAATCCTAAATATCGGATACTAGGACAAGAGAACCAGTTTAATCTAGATCTATCCAAGGTCCATCATTTGATGGGTGAGAGTTTTCAGTATTGTCTTTATCAGGCCTGGTTTCAGGCATAAGTCTTAAAAAAAGTTTTAAAATATCGGAATGAAATAGAAAATTGTAACGATAGTAGCTTAATTAAGGTCTTCCGTCTTCACGGAAGACCTTATAGTGATTCTATTGTTTCTTATTATTATTATTATTATTATTATTATTATTATTATTATTATTATTTTTCCGTACATCAAATTTTGTGCACGCGATTTCTCAAAGATTACTGGATAGATTTTCACGAAATTTACAGGACTTATGTGTTGTTATCTGAAGTTATTTTTTCCGAGAGATTTTTTGAAAACTCGCTTCCGGTGCCAAGTTTAGGGACTTTTCCTGAAAATAAAATGACATTTTGTCCACAATTAAACTCAAAAACGGTAAACGATATCAACATGAAACTTTCAGGGATTATAATTCGTGATATTTACTATCCAGGACGCAACAATTTGTTCGTCGTCAGTACTTCCTGTCGTAAGGAGATGCGAAGATAAAAAATCGAATTTTCTAACTTTTTTGACTTTCAATATTTTTCATTTCTTTTTGGAATGCTAATAGACACCCTTTCAATAGAGCTTACTGTATAATTTGTTTGAATATTGGTTAATCTGAACTCTAGATATTAACATTTGAAAATATGAAGCGGGATCAAGATGGCGGCTGTCTCTGTCAACACCGCCATTTCGCTAGTAGGGGTTTATGGAGTCATCCGAGCGTTTGCTTAAACGAAATTAAGATAGGGATAAATGAAAGGTTAAAGACTACTGGATTGTCACGTAGTAATAACGTTACAATTCTGTGTAAAACAAAAGATTTATTCCAGGGTCTTTTCAAACGTTTTCTCTTATTGGTTTTGGCTGGTGCTCAAAGTAAAAAAAGAAAAGACTGAATATGCATATGATAATACTATACATACTATAATTTGTTTTTGCACGATGGGAAAACAGATTTTAAATCATTGTTATAAGTTATAGTTTTTTAAGAAACAATATCGATGTATATGGTAAGTATAAAACGTAACCACTGTTTTTCCTATGCACACTCGTGTCATATTAAACAAACAGAAGAGACAAAAATAAGAAAATCATATTTTAAAAGACCGTTTAATTTAGTTTATATTAACATTTTTTTCTCAAAGATATTTAAAGTTGAACACTGAACATTGATATCTGATTCCTTGACCGTTGTAGGGCGAGACATGTCTTTCAACGAACCATTTCTACCTTTTCATGAAAGTGTAACGAAACGGGTTAGTTCAGTTTGGGGATAAACGGGAAATAAAAAAAAGTTTAAAATGATTACCATTTTAGCTCTTTTGTGTTACTAACCTTTATTAGACATAAAATATCTACAATCAGTTAAATATACTTTCTAAACCTCGACATTTAAGCTTAAAGAACGTTCCTTTTTTAAATTTTATTGAAGCTATCATACCTTTTTAATGGAACATTCCAAAGAAAAGGCCCGAAGATTAACTCGTGGCGTTTGGCGCGAAATGATGAATAGTAGCATGCCTTTAGATATTTTTTAGACAGGCAGCTGAGCGTTTGATTAAACGATTCTGACATAAGGATACATGAAATGTAAAAAACTACTTCGACTCTCACGTTGTAGTGAATTGGTTGGAGGAGTTACCTCCCGTTACTTGTTTATATTATAATAGATAATCAATGTAAATATTTTAATTCATTGGTCAATTGACAAAGGAATTATACAAGTAATATTGATAAATGATGCTCTGTTAGAAAACAATAATAGTGTTGCCAAAGGAAAGGCAGTCTGTTGTATTTTATCAAAATGATATCTGATAACTAATGATCATTGATTAAGTTTAGGTACATGTACAAGGGGGCAGTACAGACAACTGGCACTTAGTTACAGAAACCAATTGGTTTATCGATCAAATCGGTTTGTGCAAAGTTGCCGTAGTCAGTGACTGTTAAAATGTAGCTTTGTGACGTTAGCTGTAAATTTGTCATCAGGACAGAGAAGCTCTACCAAAGTTAAATCATACTGTGTAAGTTTATTGTAGCCCCCTGGCTAGAGTTATGTAGGCAACTTCGTAAGCAGTAAGACACCCGGCAGGTGTTAAAGGCTAAATCAAGAGGCACAAGGCAGGTAGTTGTTGACTTATATAGTCAGTTGTATAGTGAGGTTTCTTTTCCTAAAACGGACGGAAGACCACTCGTTGCTCGCAACGAGATCGTATCTAGTATATTTTTCTTTTACAATTACAGTGGGTTGGCAGGTTCCTCTAAAGATACAAAAAGAAACATGGAAGGTACTCTATGTGTTAAGAATTTTTTAAAAATTCATTTTGACTGAAAGGTGATTTACTTATTTAAAGTTTGGAAAAGGAAATACAGCTAGATAATTGAATCATTATTTAATTTTTTGTAGAAATTCATGCCGAATCAGAAAGCCAGGCAAGCTCTACAGAGTCAGGAGAATGAGGTCAACAAGGACGTGGGTGAACCAGCTGTAAAGAAACAAAAGTATGTCAAAGTGTAATGTACGAGTTGTTTAGAAATAGAAGTGAATACAAAATACCTATTTCACTAAAATAAAATGTCCAGAAAATTTGGTCATTTAAAGCATAATTGCACGCAAGATATAGTCGATATGTTTGCAGAAACTATGTCCCATTAGTATCAAATATGAACAAAAATTACTCAACATTTAGTGGGAAGACCTAAAAAACAAAAATTGTACTTCTACACTTTTGAGAAATGTCCTAAAATGACTTCAATTTAGTACAAACCATGACCAAATTATAATATTTACATTTGCATATATGTTTTTTAGATATGTTCAGTTTTGTGTGAATGTTATTTGGGGGTCAGAGGTCATAGCGCTACCGAATCACAGAGCGAGGTGATATTTTGTCTACATATTTCTGTCACGGTGCAACTTATTTTGGGAAATTTCCAAGTTAAAAACGATGAAAAAGATAAAATGATAAGCAATGTGGATATTTTTTCGATCACGAGATGTATAATAAATCTTCTTTTGAGTGAATAAGGTTTTGAATACTATAATTAGCCTAAAATAGCACTTTTAACCTTTTTAAGGCCATAATAAATATATTCCTAGATTCTCATCCCCCCCCACCCCCCCGCCCTGATTTTTTTACTCCCGCCTCGATTTTTTTATTTCTGTTTTTCTTCATCTTAATTCTGATCAGGATCGGTATTCAACTACCATTCAACTTTCGTTTTAAATCCGGTGAATGTCGGCATGATTTTGACAGCTGAAAAGATGTTAATTGATATAATATATGTTAAACTAGGGTCATTGGTTCTAAAAGATTGGTGTTGATGTGTAGTAAGAGATAAACGGACCTTTACCATGACTTTTATTTGGGTATTATAGATAAATCTGCACCGAATGAACAGGTGAATAAAAATTCTGCAAAGTGGAAAAAAAATATAAAATAAAAGCTGCCCGCCCGCCTCGATTTTTCAACAAATTGGATGAGAATCTAGGAATTTTTAGCTCTACTGGTCAGAGACCAGAAGAGCTTATGCGATGGTAATGCGTCCGGCGTCCGTCCGTCTGTCTGTCTGTCTGTCTGTCTGTCTGTCTGTCTGTCTGTAAACAATTTTTCAAAACGCTACTCCTCCTACAGTTTTGGTCTGATTTCACTATAACTTGGCATACAGGTAGACTACACTGATATAAATAATTCTGTGTATCGGTTTTTGATTTCGATGAACAGTGTTGCCGTGGTTACTAAAAATAGAAATTTCTGTGAAATTCTTTCAAAACACTACTCCTCCTACAGTTTTGGTCTAATTTCAATATAACTTGGCACACAAGTAGACTACACTAAGATACATAATTCTGTGTATCTGTTTTTGATTTCGATGAACGGTGTTTCCGTGGCTACTAAAAATAGAAATTTCTGTGAAATTCTTTCAAAACACTACTCCTCCTACAGTTTTGGTCTGATTTCAATATAACTTGGCACACAAGTAGACTACACTAAGATACATAATTCTGTGTATCGGTTTTTGATTACAATGAACGGTGTTGCCGTGGTTACTAAAATAGAAATTTCTGTGAAATTCTTTCAAAATGCTACTCCTCCTACAGTTTTGGTCTGATTTCAATATAACTTGGCACACAAGTAGACTACACTAAGATACATAATTCTGTATATCGGTTTTTGATTTCGATGAACGGTGTTGCCGTGGTTACTAAAAAAAGAAATTTCTGTGAAATTCTTTCAAAACGCTACTCCTCCTACAGTTTTGGTTCGATTTCAGTATAACTTGGCACACAAGTAGACTACACTAAGATACATAATTCTTTGTATCGGTTTTTGATTTTGATGAACGGTGTTGCCGTGGTTACTAAAAGTAATTCTTTCAAAACGCTACTCCTCCTACAGTTTTGGTCTGATTTCAGTATAACTTGGCACACAGGTAGACTACACTAAGATACATAATTCTGTTTATCGGTTTTTGATTTTGATGAATGGTGTTGCCGTCTCCCGTGGTTACTTAAAATAGAAATTTCTGTGAAATTCTTTCAAAACACTACTCCTCCTACAGTTTTGGTCTGATTTCAATATAACTTGGCACACAAGTAGACTACACTAAGAACTTAAAGAGACTTAATCAAGGATCATTATTCTATTTATTGCCGTTGTAAAGTTCCAATTCCCAACTGCTTAAGTACTTTTCTCTCCCGTTGCTATAAGTACAAACCAGTAGAGCTTCAGTCTCGACAGAGACTTCTGGTTTTTATTATGGCCTAACAGGAAATTCCTTTGGAGTTATGTAAACTAAAACAGGCGATACCACCACTTTTGACTTCAAATATTGTAAGATCTTGAGAAATAGTTAGATTATTCTCATCAGCGATCATAGTTCTTTCACTATATACAAATATTTCCTGAACTGGACTTCTAAACATGAATGTAAACATTCAAATGTTGGAGGAAGGTAAACTAACTTTGACAAACAACTTCTAGTTCATTGCGCATCACAACATAGCAATACGGCAGCCTGTTTGTGTAATAAATATAATTTTACTTGAAATTTATTCGTCTCAAATATAAATATAGCTTACTCCACTTATATTGAACTCGCTTATTTTGAAATTCCGCTTATTTTGAAATAAAAATAAATCCCCAGTTTTTGACTCTCATATTCTTTGCATTAAAATAACGGTTATATTGAAATCGGCTGTATTGAAATTTCGCTTATATTGAAGCCACTGATCGGTCCCCATAGGTGATAATGAGTTGTTTTCATAACGGTTATATTGAAGTACTCCCTGGCGGCTGTCGTTACGGTTGGTGACAGAAATTATGCCTGACTGACCAGTTGATATAAAAAGGTGTGAATGATTAAGTTTTCACATTATGTGTTTTCATACTTCATGCTCTTACGAAATGAAATTATTCACTGCTAAATTCTTTGTTTCCATATATATCATACGGAAGTATTTAGGCTAAAGGCAACATAGTATCCTCCACAGATCTGAAAAAAAAACAAGATGTGTTTGTGAAACACTATGCGCCCGGCGGCAACAAAGTTCAAAAAATCTATTTTTAGCATATTGGTCACAGTCAAGGTCACAAGGTCATTGACCGTGGTGTCATTTGAAAGAACTTAATCAGTGGAGTATGCATCCCAAATATGAAGTCCCTATCTCCTATGGTTTAAAAGTTATGGCAAAAAGTATAAAAAGCTATTTTTAGCATATAGGTCACAGTCAAGGTCATTGACCATGGTGTCATTTGAAAGAACTTAATCAGTGGAGTATGCATCCCAAATATGAAGTTCCTATCTCCTATGGTTCAAAAGTTATGGCAAAAAGTGTAAAAAGCTATTTTTAGCATATAGGTCACAGTCAAGGTCACAAGGTCATTGACCATGGTGTCATTTGATAGAACTTAATCAGTGGAGTATGCATCCCAAATATGAAGATCCTATCTCCTATGGTTCAAAAGTTATGGCAAAAAGTGTGAAAAGCTAATTTTAGCATATAGGTCACAGTCAAGGTCACAAGATCATTGACCTTGTTGTCAACTGAAAGGGCTTTATTAGTGGAGTATGCATACCAAATATGAAGTCCCTATCTCCTATGGTTAAAAAGTTATGACAAACAGTGGAAAAAGCTATTTTTAGCGTATAGGTCACAGTCAAGGTCACAAGGTCATTGACCTTGATGTCATTTGAAAGGACTTTATTAGTGGAGTATGCATACCAAATATGAAGTCTCTATCTCTTATTGTTCAAAAGTTATGGCCAAGGTTAAAGTTGACAACAGACAAACAGACAAACAGATAAACAGACAAACAGACAAACAGACAGGACAAAAACAATATACGCCCGGGATCTATCGATCCGGGCGCATAATTAACTTTCAAATTAGATACGTACCGTTAATGGCTAATTTATAATGATAAACCTCAATTCGAAATAGCTAAGAGATCAACCCGAGTACACTTAACGATGAAATACATGCAGCGTTAAGCAGTGCTCAACAGTTTGACATCGGTGATTTTTCTCCAAAATGTAAAATAAATACGATCGGGGAATAATTATGAAGTTAAAGATTGTCTAATCGATAGAAAAGAAACAAACAATTTTATTTAAACTTTCAAGGATTAATATTTCATGTAATCTGTACACTGTTATAGGTAAACGATGACAAAATTAATTTGTTCGGGTTTGTTCTTTATTTTAAGATCGGGATTGAACTTTTAATAAAAAAAAATGGCGGCTTCACGATTTCGCTTATATTGAATTACGGATATATTGAAATAATTTCCATGGTCCCTTGAATTTCAATATATCCGGAGTAGGCTGTATAAGTAATAAACAACAATGTTAAAAAGTTCACTGGGAAATGAACTTTTAGTTGGTACATGATCAAATCTAGTGGGAAGCCCTTCAGGCTTCACAGGATTTGATCACATGACCAACTAAAAGTTCATTTCCCAGAGAACTTTTTAACATTGTTTTTTATTTCTTAAATGAATATAGTAAATTATTATAAGTATCATGATAGGAAGAAAGACTGTAATTCTTCAATGTTGAATATTTCTGTGTTGCAGAATCAGTGTAGATGATCCCAGCGTTTTACAGAACACAACAAAGCCGGTGATTATTTTCACAGGATTCCCTAAGGGACAAGTCAAGAAGCTGCAAATGGTAAACAAAAATTACTTCATTGTGTGCAATGTACTGTAGAATACTTTTTTCTATGGGTTCATGATTCTGTGGAATCTCAATTTCTGTTTAATCCATGGGTAGAAAATTACGTGGATTTCTTAGTCTGTCACTATATGGCTTACATTTATATTAAGTACGCTTGGACAAATTTCCACGGAAAATTTGTGACCGCATATATAGCATAGATAAATACTACATGGAAAAAAAAGTACTTTTACAGTATATAAACATAGATTTGTAGTTTCAAGTCTTGGACAAAGAGTTATCTCACACAAAGCGTGGAAAAATGGACTTATATGTTATTTTTAAAATAAAGCACTTCACAACCTATTTTAAAAAGCAACAAATAAATAATATACTAATAACTTAAAATCAGATCATTGTATACATGTATGTAATGTGACAAGATGAAATCTTAAGTATTTAAATTCTTCTTAAAGATAATGTAGAATGTAGTACAAGGTATAATTAATGTTTTGGTCTCTGATTGTGTTATAGATTGTCAGTCAGTTAGGAGGGATTTCTACAGAGAACCCCAGACACTGTACACATCTTGTGGCCCCCTCCTTGTCAAGAACCATGAAATTCTTCATTGCCATCAATGTCTGTAAGCATGTCGTCACCAGGGATTGGATAGATGCATGCATGGCTCAGGGGACATTTGTGGGTAAGTTCCAAATTTGTTTCTAAACAACCAGCTCTTAGGTTTGCGGAAGCAAAATTATCTGAATCTTAACATTTTTTCAAAGAAAAAGAAAAAAATATTTGTCATTATCATGTTCTTTAAGATTTTGTAAAGTACAAACTGTCTGATGTCTTGGATTAAGTATATGATATTTATGCCCCCCTTCGAAGAAGGGAGGGCATATTGCTTTGCTGCTGTCTGTCGGTCGGTCTGTCTGTCCATTTAGTTTCCGTTCATTTTCTTTGCAAACGTTGCACATACTGAAATGAAATTTGGTATACAGGTATTTCAGATGAATATCTAGGTCAAGTTCTGTTTTGGGTACGATCGCACCATAATTGACAGAGTTATGCCCCTTGGACTTAGAAAAATTCCAATTATTTGCAGTTTCCGTTCATTTTCTTTGGAGAGGTTGCACATATTGAAATGGAATTTAGTATACAGATAACTCAGATGAATATCTAGGTCAAGTTCTGATTTGGGTACGATCGCAAGATAATTGACAGAGTTATGCCCCTTGGACTTACAAAAATTCCAATTATTTGCAGTTTCCGTTCATTTTCTTTGGAGAGGTTGCACATATTGAAATGGAATTTAGTATACAGATTAGTCAGATAAATATCTAGATCAAGTTCTGTTTTTGGTACGATCGCACCATAATTGACAGAGTTATGCCCTTTGGACTTAGAAAAATTCCAACTATTTGCAGTTTCCGTTCATTTTCTTTGGAGAGGTTGCACAAATTGAAATGGAATTTAGCATACAGTTTAGTCAGATGAATATCTAGGTCCAGTTATGTTTCGGGTATGATCGCACCATAATTGACAGAGTTATGCCCCTTGATACTTCGAAAAATTCTCAATTTATTTGCAGTTTCTGTTCATTTTCTTTGGAGAGGTTGCACATATTGAAATGGAATTTAGTATACAGATAATTCAGATGAATATCTAGGTCAAGTTCTGTTTTGGGTACGATCGCACCATAATTGACAGAGTTATGCCCCTTGGACCTAGAAAAATTGCAATTATTTGCAGTTTCCGTTCATTTTCTTTGGAGAGGTTGCACATATTGAAATGGAATTTTTTATACAGATTAGGCAGATGAATATCTAGGTCCAGTTATGTTTTGGGTTGACAGATTTATGCCCTTCTGGACATAGAAAAATTCCAATTTTGGGGGGAGGAGGGCATAAGTGTTTTACAAACATCTCTTGTTGAGATTTGTTTTTCTGTATGATGAGATAATGCATTGGATTACAGTTATTTCTAAGCCTACATGTACAACACAAAATCTTTTTTCATAGATGAAACACCATACAGATTGAAAGATTCTGCCACAGAGAAATCGATGGACTGTGTCTTAGAAGACTCACTGAAGCGTGCTCAAACAAAAAAGCTCTTTGAGGTATAGATCAGTTATATAGTGTGTCTTAATAAAAAAGAAAGCACCTATCTTTGGTGCTTTGACATTATGTAATAAGTGCCATATGATGGGTAAAAAATATAAGGAACATTTACATCCTTAAATAATACACAATATGATTTAAAAAAAAAAACAAGCAAATTCAAGGAATTGTGGTCCCCCGCTTTCGGTGTCTTTGTAGGTGAGCTGTCATTTTTTATACGCCCGTCTTAAGACGGGACGTATTATGTTATAGGCTTCATGTCCGTCTGTCTGTCCGTCTGTCCGTCCGTCCGTCTGTTAGCTTTTCTCGTGTCCGGCTTATAACTTGAATACTATAAGGCCTAGAGTTACCAAACTTTGTCAGCTGATACATCTTGGGTAGAAGGTGTGTCGAGCACAAAAATTAGGTCGCTCTGACCTATAATTAAAAAGTTATAGCCAAATATGGAAAAATCCTGTCCGGTCCATAACTAGAAAACTATTAGACTTAGAATCATCAAACTTGGCCACTTTATGCATCTTAGGTAGAGGGAGTGTCGCGACCTATTTCAAGGTCACTGTGACCTTTAATATAAGTGAAATTAAAAAAAAAAAATGTCTTTTTTTCTCTTCATTTACACACTCCAAAAAATGTAAAAGTATTGCACTATTCTTATTAGAAAAATGTTAAATCAAGAAAATACTTATTTTTTTTTAGCATATACTTGACAGCAATCTTTAACAAATGTAATGTATGTTAAAGAAATTCCACCACTCCCATGAGTTTAATTATCAAGCACTGGTCAAGAAGAATTTTGATAACAGAAAATTGCATGCCAAATTAGAGAGAGAGAAATTAATGAGTTTAGTGTGAGGAAGAGCATCGGTGCTATCTATATCCCTTGAGTATTGGGCCAAATGGGTAATCCTGTTGGATTAAAAATAGCTCTTGTTGGCTAGCATAAGTTTTATAATGAATTTGATGAGAAGTAAATAAAACTAATTTGATTTTGCATAATAAACTATTTTGATATTACATAATATTATGAACTTTAAAAAACTAATTTTATGGGGGTGGGGTGGAATCAGCATGTCCATATGAATTGCATATTAAAACCTGTCTGCCATTAAATCTAACAAAAAAATCATTGAGGTTTTATATGTTTTAAAAATGCTTTATGGTAGATAGTGCAGATCCAATAATCTCTTGGGAGTAATGAGTAGACAAGCATCCAGTTAAAGATTAATTAATGTGTTCAATGTAGCAAGGCTATAGCTGTCTCAATCATTTCTTCAGAGCATTATCTTAACTGACAGTGTATCCTTTGGGAATTAGACAGAAGAACTGTTGGTCAGTTTATATTTGATGGCCAGCCTTTTATTTTCAAAATTAATTAGGTATAGATTAAGTTGTGAAGACTAATTTGATATTGTTTAATATGATAGGCATTTGGCAAGGTATAGAAATCTATGAATGATGCAATATTTGTTATATAATTAATGCCTGCACCACAGGAGATGGATAAACACATTTTTTAAGGAGTTGAAAAATCATGGAAATCTTAAAATCAAGGTTGACATGATTTTCTTGCACTTTTAATTGTTTAAGATAATTGTAATTTTTTGACGGGCGTATCATGCTGTGGCGTGGCACTTTATTATGACATATTGTGTGTAATATGAACACCCTATCATATGTCATTTATTTAGAAATCATCACTGAACCCCAGGTTCAAGGTCAAAGGGTTAAAGTTTTTGGTATCCAATGAAAAGTCTTCTCACAAGGATTACATATGTGAAGTATGAAAGCCCTAGCCCTTACCATTCAAAAGTTACGGTAAAGGTTAAAATTTTTTCATAAGTGCGAAAAATCTCCAAGGTCAAGGTCAAAAGGTCAAGGTTGTTGATATCAAAGGAAAGGTCTTGCCACAAAGAATACATTTGTGTAATATGAAAGTCTTAGTATCTACTGTTCAAAAGTTCTGGCAAAGGTCTAAGTTTTTGAAAAGTAGGTCAAAGGTCAAGGTCAAAGGGTAAAAGATCTTGGTATCCAATAAAAGGCCTTCTCACAAGGATTACATATATGAAGTATGAAAGCCCTAGCCCTTACTGTTCAAAAGTTATTGGCAAGGTTAAAGTTTTTTTATAAGTACGGAACTCTCCAAGGTCAAGGTGAAAAGGTCAAAGTTGTTGGTATCCAATGAAAGGTCTTGTCACAAAGAATATATATGTGAAATATTAAAGTCCTAGTGTCTACCATTCCAAAAGTTATGGCCAAAGTAAAAGTATGGAATTTTTTGTGTAAAAGTGGGTCAAACTCCAAAGTCAAGGTCAAAAGGTCAAATTTGGTGGTATCCAAAGAAAGGTCTTATCACAAGGGATACACATGTGAAATGTAAAAGTCATAGCTCCACTAAATCAAAAGTTATAGGCAAGGTTAAAGTTTTTGTGACGGACAGACGAATGAGATTTAAAGTCCCCTTGCTTTCTTGAAAGCGGGGGACAATAAAAGAAGAGTTGAGAAAAAACTTGAACTCTATTTCAAATTGTTGGAAAGACTTAGCTTTATAGTAATTTGTATTATTTTACAGGGAGTGTCATTCTGTATATCTCTGTGTATCCCCCCTTGTTCAGAGAGTATGATATAATCCTGACATTTTGTTTTACAGGGAATGTTGTTCTATATACTTGTATCTCTGTGTATCCCCCTTGTTCAGATTGTATGTTATAATTCTGACGTTTTGTTTTACAGGGAATGTCATTCTATATATCTCCCAGTGTGTCCCCACCCTGTTCGGATCTGGAGAAGGTGGTAGAGGCAGCAGGGGGGAAAGTTCTCAAACAGCGGCCACACATTCAGACATTCCTAGAACAAAAAGATACAAATGTAATTCTTAATAAGTATTTACTGGGTAAATTAATAAATTGGTTCAAAAAAGCTGTATGTTTCAGACCTATGTGTTTTTGAAAACAGTTTTAATCCAATATCTACGTGTCTTACAGGGGAATAGGAAGAATATCATGATCACGTGTGAAAATGATGTCATGTTGTACAAAGATCTAGTGGACAAAGATATTGGTGAGTTTAATGTGAAGCTCTCATCAATGATCACCTCCAGGTTTTTACAGGGAAATATTTGCTCCTGTTTTATTTTGGCCCCTTTCACCCTAACCTCAAGCGAATTTATAAAGGGGCAAATTAAAATATACAGTTTAATTTCTTAAACAAAGCTGTGATGGGGTGAATATGAAACGGGGTGAAATTGTTTGCAAGTGTGAAAGGGCGAAAATCGGGGCTAAAATAACGCTGTATACAGTATTTTATGGTCAGCAAAAGTCACATGTCATAGATTTTGTTAATAGATGGTGCATTAAACTAGTGATATGTGTAATATGCAATCAATATGAATTGATGACTTGATAAAAATTTTCATTTTTTCATTCTCATGAAATATTCTGTAAGTAACTTTAAAGCTTAGTACTAGTGCTAGTAGCCTGTTATACATGTATTTTTTTGGAACATCAATTCTTGATGAATATCTTTGTCTTAATTTAAAAAAAAAAAAAAAACAAAAAAAACAAAAAGTTTGAATTCTACATGTATTTGCATGTTTTTAAAAGTTTATTTTTGTTCTTTTATTTTTAGCCATCTACAATGCAGAGTTCATCTTGACTGGGGTTATGAGACAAACTGTGGATTTTAAATCATTTGAGATTGATGTTCACTAATTCTCTACCAACTGAGATGAAAAGGATGAACATGTGTGACTGGTGAAATGTGTTCTCTGGGTTGTAATGGTTGTTTACAGTGATAAGAGCCAGCTTCAGGAACGACAGAACTTGACCAAAGCCGGCATGTAGTTGTGTTTTTCCTTGTCAAAAAACAGGAATCATCTAAAAGTGTCATCATCGAATGAAGAATTACCAAAAAAATGAGCAAGGCAGCATAGTTATAATTTTTTTTAAGTTTGAATCTTTTTCTTTAGAGACTGTTTGTTCATATTAAGTAGAAGCTAAATTCAGTTTGTATGGAATGAATTATGTGAAGCAAGACAATGCATGTACACTTTTCTTTATTTCGTTATTCCTGTAGAAGATTGAAGTTCTTTTGGGCAAAGATTTATTTTTCTGTTGCTTGTGTGGTATGAGTGGATTTAAGTGCTGTTTGTATTGTTCTTACAAATGATGCTATAGAATTTTTGATTGTGTTTGATATTCCATGATTGATAAAATCCAGAGTTTTTTTTATCCTGCATGTGTCCAGTGCTTAATTTTTTTTAAAGACAAATATTTAGCTATAGAATGCAATTCTGCCTCCAATTTTATTTTCAAACAGTGTTCAAACTTCATCCATCTTGTGCCAAATGTCATTCTTATGCCCTGTTCACACGGAGAGTTTAATTCGCAGTAAATTAATGCGAAGTAAACTAATGCGAATCAAACTAATGCGAATTAAATTGCGTTCACATGACAGCTAATGCGAAGTAAACTAATGCGAATTAAAATTTTACTTCGACAGTCAGGCGTGAGGAAGGCTATTATGACGTCATTTGCAAATCACGTCACCTTATGCAGAAGCGGATATGCATTTGACATAAAGTCAGTGTCTGGAGACATATTTTAGTGATTAACACATTTTTTCTTGGTTTTTCAATCAAAAATGGCACAAATACTTAAAGCTGACCACCGACATGACGCATTTGACTTAATTTTGCCATTACGCATGCCCCAAAATTTAATTCAAATTAGCTTCACTTAGCGTTCACACGGAGCTAAATGCGAAGTAATTTAATGCGCAGTAAACTAATGCGAAGTAAACTAATTCGCATTAAATTCTCCGTGTGAACGCTAAGCGAAGCTAATTCGCAGTAAACTTGCGCTTAATTCGAATTAAACTCTCCGTGTGAACAGGGCATTACATTATTTTCCCGTCATAATTGATTGTGTTATTTTACAATATTTAATACTCGTGTGACTGTGTTAAGGCAAATATGGTAGATGTCTAAAAAAAAAACCAAACATTTTTTGAGATTTTTAATCCAGAAAAAAATGAAATTAAATGTACATGTACATTAAAATTATCTTTTTTAAGATATATCAGGAGTAGGGCAAATGTGGATAATAACAGGGAGTCAAGTTTAATACTGAAAAAAAAATGAATGAAATTGAGAGATGAGCATGTGGACTCTTTGTGGAGCCAAGTTGACTGGCATGAGCATTGTGGTCTATGTTTGTTATTTTACTTATAAATTGTTTTAAGGATTATTTTGCTGAAACATTCTTGTTTTCTTTTTCTCATTTGTTCTGTGCCTTCTGTCCTAGGCTCGTACTTTGTACTATAATTGAACAGTGGTCAAATATTTTGATATTCAGCAATTGCATAATATTACTGCATGTATGCATGTAATGGACATTTATTGTGATTCACGGAAATGAAAATGCTAGAAAAGAATTTAAAGACTGTATGATGAGTTTTTCTCCTATGTTAACATCAAATAATAGAAGACATTGCATGAAGCTTTTGTACAAGAATAAATTCATGTTGAGCATGTAAATTATTTGATTTGTTATTTGCCTGAATGGAACTTCAACAGAGTCAGACATTGAATCTATAAAGCAACAAATTACACTACAGATCATAAATTCTTGTTTTATTGTAACAAGGAATAAAAAGTAATGTAAATAGTAAAATTGTATTTACAAAATATTGCATTTTAAAATCACATCATCTCTTAAAAGTATCCTATTCAAACGTTCTGATTTAACAATTGGTAATGGATGATGATATGACAATCCATGTACAGAAGTAAATCATAATTTTGACTGAACCCTTTTATTTTGTATAATATTGGTTCAGAGTTTGTATGCAGTTGTCAGTCAAGATGGGTAGCCTTGTTGGTGAGCTCTGCAGGCCTACACAGTCCTGATGCAGGCTGTGACTTGTCTCTATAGATAGTAAGGTACAAGCTGCAATTCACCTGCAATGCATGGCAAATTGGACAAATTGACTCAATAAATAGATAGAAAGACACAGATATTATCTTCCACTCGACAGTTATATAACCATCAAGGGCTTTACTGTAAGGTTCTTATGATGTCATCCAGAGTGTGTTTATAGGATTTGATGG